ATTTACATAATGTCTAACCTGATTACCTTCAAAACAATTCCATCCGAAGAATTTCTTGATGATCCTGTGTATGTAGCTATTATTCTTAATTATACCAGCATTCAACTGAGAGTGGGTCAATATATCAGAAATGATTGAAATTTAAATTTCATCTCCTTTCAATTCTCCTTCCTCTGCTTGGATAGTCCTCCCTTTTCCTTACATACTTCATAATAACTGGTTAATAGCAAGATAACGTTTTTCCACTTTATTTCATCTTCATAAATTTTGTAAAACTGTACTTGTCTGGGTATTGCTTAAAAGATATCTGAGTTTTATCCAACCTCTGCTTCCTAATTTCCAAGTGCTTCTACCCAAAAATTTCCATGATACACCACTTCCAGCCTAGTACTGTGTATCTGTAACTGATTAGATCCCATCCTGGACAGAAATTTCTGAGATAAACCTTCACTTAAACATTTCAGTTTGGAGTCTAAATACATCACTCTATGCATTTCTACTGTTTCTATTTTGTAAATATGACTATTCTTTATGGTTCCAGGTTACTTTTTTTCTTGATTGAGTCTGGCTGGAATTCCTCAGTGAATTATTGAAGTAGATGTAACAGATGTAACTGCATCCGGTTTGGTCATCATATTATAAAAAAGATGTTGATTCACTGGAAAGAATATAGAGAAGAGCAACAAAGATGATTAGAGGGCTGGAGACTAAAACATATGAAGAGCAGTTGCAGGAAGTGAGATTGTCTAGTCTAGTGTAAAGAAGGACTAGGGATGACATGATAGCAGTGTTCCAATGTTTGTGGGGCTCCTACCAAGATAAGGAGGTCAAACTATTTTCCAAAACACCAGACGCAAGACAAAAAACAATGGATGGAAACTGATCAAGGAGAGAAGCAACCTAGAACTAAGGAGAAATTTCCTAACATTGAGAATAATTAACTATGCCTTGCCTTCAGAAGTTGTGGGTGCTTTTAAGAAGAGATTGGAAAACCACTTGGCTGGAATGATATAGGATCTCTTGCTTGAGCAGGGGGTTACGTTAGAAGACCTCCAAGGTCCCAACTTTGTTATTCTGTTCTGTTCTGCTAGAAACCCAGCCAAATTTGTCCTCAGTTGTGAAGGATAATCGTTATGATGGTTTTATGACAACTTAACATCTAAACACACTATTATCCCATGTACTTTTCCAGTCTATAACTCATTTCTTCAGATATATAGAATAGGGTCCTGAGAGATGTTTTGGGGGGTGGCGTTGGAGGTGGGAGATGACTCAGTAGAGTGATCTAGAATAATTCTTTAAGGAGGGATCCAGAAAAGTGGGAGAATTGTTTTAGAGGTGAGAGATAAAGAGGATTATTTTATACAATGACAGTAAACAAAGAAGTAGTAGTACAAATGGCAAACAATTTGCTTCCAAAAGAATACCTGAATCAGTCCTAGATAGCTGAGAATCCTAGATATTTCTTCAAAATTAAATTATGAATTTTTGCATGACATTATTAATAGGTTGAGAAAGGAGTTTAATTACACTGGAGTAGAGTGGAGAGAGAGAAGTCAAATGGGAAGAAATGATGGAAAGGAAGGTGGAATTTTTAAATATTGACCACATAGAAAACACACATATATATTTTCATTAATCAAATACCCTTAATATCAAAAATAAGACACCCTAAGAGCTGAAAATGTTTTGTTTCCAAGTTTTACATATTGCTTTTTTCAAATCTGGTGTCAATGTAAAACCTTTGATATTTAAAAATGAGGTAGAAATATCCCAATGCAATAAAAATATTAAAATAAAATAAATAATTCACATTTCTGAAGAAAATGGACACCAAACAGGTTATCTGCCAAAAAGATAATTCTGTATTTCACTTTAGAACAGTGAAGACAAGTATTTTCTATACCATTTTTCTTGGAGGGTGGGGTACAGTCTATTTTTTTAACCTTGTTGTTAACAATGATTTTTAATTTGAAATGTATATATATATATATATATATATATATATATATATATATATGTATGTATGTATGTATGTATGTATGTATGTATGTGTATGTGTATGTGTATGTGTATGTGTATGTGTATGTGTATGTGTATATGTATATGTATATGTATATGTTTGGAAATGCAAGTGTGTGACAGAGGCATTAAACTCTCTTGAAGGATGTTTCTACAGAACTACCAGCATATCCTATCCTTGATCTTTACTGCAAAGGAAATCAATGAAAATCTGCAGATCTTGCCAAACATCACTCTGGGCTTTGGTATATCTAACAGTTATTTCATGGCAACATGGACCTACCTTGCTTCTATGGAGCTTCTTTCTTCACAAGGCAGATTTGTTCCCAACTATAAATGCAACGTTGACCGAAATGCAGTTTGTATTATTGCAGGACCCAATTCTTTTATCAGTCAGGTTGTGGAAGACATCTTGAGCATTTACAAAATTCCACAGGTAATTGCTGCTCCAGAAAAAACAAAAACCCTATTGATATGTGACTTCTTCTTTAAAGCCAATGCAACCCTAGGCTGCATTAATAGAATGATAGAATCAAGATCACATGAAGTTTTAGTACTGTTTTACAAAGCCTTAGTAAGACCACACTCGGAATACTGCATCCAGTTCTGGTCACCACAATATAAAAAAGATGTTGAGATTCTGGAAAGAGTTCAGAGAAGAGCAACAAAGATGATTAGGGGCCTGGAGGCTAAAACATAAAAAGAATGGTTACAGGAATTGGGTATGTTTACTCTAATGAAAAGAAGGAGTAGGGGAGACATAATAGCAATGTTCCAATATTTGAGGGACTCCTACAAAGATGAGGCATCAAGGTATTTTCCAAAATAACAAAAGGTGAGACAAGTAACAATGGGTGGAGACTAACCAAGAGAGAAGCTACCTAGAACTAAGGAGAAATTTCTTAATGGTGAGAACAATCAACCAATGGAATAGTTTGCCTTCAAAAGTTGTGAGTGTTCCATCACTGGAGGCTTTCAAAAAGAGACTGGACAACCATTTGTCTGAAATGATATAGGGTCTCTTGCTTGAGCAGGGGTTGGACTACAAGATCTCTAAGGTCCCTTCCAACTCTATTATTCTATGTTGTATGAAATTTTCTCTATTTTTATAAATAAGTTGAGGCAGTGAATTCACACAATTCTCTTTCCTCCCATTTTCAACCCTGTGAAATAAGTTGTGCTGAGAGAGAGCGACTGGCTGAAGTCACCTAGCCGGCTTTTATGCCTGAAATCAGACTAGAAGTCACAGTCTTCTAGCTTCTTGCCTAGTGCTTTAACCATAAGAACAAATTGGTTTCATTTGAATTGCTTAACAACCTTAATGCAGAAAAAAAAAATCATAAAATTCAGTAATGTAACAACTACATTAGTGATGTGAGTTTCAATTGTGGTCATAAATTGAGGACTATATGTACTGCAAAAATTGTCCCAGAATTTCTATATCTATATAGCTATTTTTAGGGAAGGAAGGAAAGGAAGGGAAGGGAAGGGAAGGGAAGGGAAGGGAGGGAGGGAGGGAGGGAGGGAGGAAGGAAGGAAGGAAGGAAGGAAGGAAGGAAGGAAGGAAGGAAGGAAGGAAGGAAGGAAATACTTATCCATTTATCTTCTCAGAAATACAGATCCTGTGAATGAACAAGACATCTCCTAAATACACTCTCATATCTCATATTGCTTGGAAGCCCTCGTGATGTGTTCACAAAATTCAAAATATGTCCCTGAGCCCCAAAGAACTGGGAATTTCTTCACTGGAGTATTTCTGAGGTAGCCGTTAAGCAGAAAAACAGTCTGTTCAGTGGTGGGATGCTGCCGGTTTAACAACCTCTTCTGTGAGCACACACTTTGCGTGTGCATGCACCTAAGGCACTTGGTTGCAGCACTGAAAATGGAGCATTTAGAAGCTCAGCTGCTTACCTTGCAAGTCAGCAATGGTACGTAGAACAGCGAGAGGGGGGAAAATCAGCTGTGCCGCATGATTGAGTTGAGCTACAAAGCAGGAACTAAAAGACAGGATAGAGTGGGAGCGAGTGGGCGGAACCAACTGATTATCAGCGCTACCAGTTCACCCAAACCGGTCTGAACTGGGTGAATACCACCTCTGAGTCTGTCTCATGGATTTACAAGTGTCAGAGATGGTATGCCGGTCCTCCCTCCAAATTACTTCCAAGTTGCCTTCCAGCTTTATGCTCTATGGTTCCACTGGCGAAAGTCGATTGTTTTCTAGTTGGCATTCACATCACTCATAATAATGATGCTTCTTTATCGAATTTCTGTTTTTGGACCATTAGAAAAGTTCTAAAGATGATAGATTATATTAAACAATCTTGCAAGAATTAGAGTATTTAGAAGGGTTCTTTCTGAAAGGCTTTCTATGTTTCCTATACTTGTGGACTGAGATAATTTTTACATGATTGTTGGCTAGTCTATGGCTCTGCCTCCAGCTTCTCAAGGTTGTCCCCACATCCCATGTGCAATATACTTTTTAAAATACCTATGTCTATGTCCGGGGGTGGGCTGCTGTGGGTTCGCAGGGGTTCAGGAGAACTTCTACCTAAGATTCTGTGCAGTTCAGAGAACCCCCAAATCCCATTCCTGGCTGGCCCTGCCCACCCACCCTTCCCAAGAGTCCCCATGCAGCCTGTTTTGGATGCAGGTAAGTGCAGGGTGCACATGGAGGCTCAGGGAGGGTGAAAAATAGACCTACTGGACATTTGGGAAGGCCAGAAATGGGCCTCCAGAGCCTGGGGTGGCTGTTTTTGCCCTCCCAGAAGCTTGAGGAAAGCCTCCAGAGCCCAGGGAGGGCAAAAACTGCCCCTTCACCATGGTGCAGGAGGCCAACTAGGCCACATCCATCATGGCCATGCCCACCCAGAAACCAGCCAGATAACCCCTTGCTAAAATTTTTGAAGCCCACCCCTGTCTATGTCTATTTTCTATTTTCTTTTTAGCTCACATATGGCTCAGCTCCAGTGATCGATAACATGTTTCATACAGCTTTCTTTCATCAGATGTTTCCAAATGAACACCTCCAGATTATGGGGATCCTCCAGTTGTTGCTACATTTTAAGTGGACCTGGGTTGGGGTGATTTGTCAAGCAAATGAGATTGGTGAAAGATTTTTGAGGCAAGTTCTGATCCTGTTTTCAGAAAAAGGAATCTGCTTTGATTACATTGAAGAGCTTGTGCTAGAAGTTTTCTCAAGTGAGCTGGAAGAGAAAATGGATAACTTTCTTAAAATATACGAAACCATGATGACAAGTTTGTCCAATGTGGTGGTTATGTATTGTGAAAACCAGATCATGGTTCTTTTCAGAATGATGTCCTCTGTTTCAGAATATTTAGATACACGAGTTGAGCGAAAAGACAAAGTCTGGATTTTTCCAGCCCAGATGGAGTATACTTCAGTTCCATTTCAAAGAGATTGGAGTATGGACATCATCCACGGGGCTCTTTCTTTTGCAGTTTCATCAAAAGAATTATTAGGATTCAATAGATTTTTTCAGGCAAGAAACAGTGTTATAGAAATTGAAGAGAGTTTTTCGAAGATCTTTTGGGAACAAGCCTTTGGATGTTTCTTCTCAAAATCCACTTTAAGCCCAGAGCCGGAGAAACGGTGCACTGGAAAAGAGAATCTGGATGATCTTCCAGACTCTGTTTTTGAACTGAGCATGACTGGGCAAAGCTACAGTATCTACAATGCAGTCTATGCTGTGGCACATGCTCTCCATGCAATGCTTACACCCCATTTCAAACACAGAGCAATTGCTGCTAGAAGGAAACAGAAGCTTCTCAATCCTCAAGTGTGGCAGGTAATTTCCTGTATTTATTAATTTAGCAGATGATATTGCTTTCCAATCTACAGCTGTTCAAGTTTATATAAACCAATTGTTGGTTATTCAGTCAATCAGATAGAATAGAATAGAATAGAATAGAATAGAATAGAATAGAATAGAATAGAATAGAATAACAGAATTGGAAGGGACTTTGGAAGTCTTCTAGTCCAACCCCCTGCTTAGGCAGGAAACCCTACACCACTTCAGACAAATGGTTATCCAACATCTTCTTAAAAACTTCCAGTGTTGGAGCATTCACAACTTAAGTAGTTGTTCCACTGATTAATTCTTCTAACTGTCAGGAAATTTCTCCTTAGTTCTAGGTTGCTTCTCTCCTTGATTAGTTTCCACCCATTGCTTCTTGTCCTGCCCTCAGGTGCTTTGGAGAATAGCTTGACTCCCTCTTCTTTGTGGCAGCCCCTGAGATATTGGCACACTGCTGTCATGTCACCCCTAGTCCTTCTTTTCATTAAACTAGACATGCCCAGTTCTTGCAATCATTCTTCATATGTTTTAACCTCCAGTCTCCTAATCATCTTTGTTGCTCTTCTCTGCACTCTTTCTAGAGGACATAATATCCACATCTTTTCATACCAAACGCTGGTCCTCCCAGATTGTTTTTTATGACACAAGGTTCCAGATATTTTGATTACTCTTCATATTCATATTTTACATAGATTTCTTTTACAGTATTGATAACTGGCATCAGTTCTGCTTTGTAATAATACAACATTTTAGTCATCTGCTGATCAAAGTGGGGTTGGTACAATGGTGTCTCCTGTATTAGGTTATTTTGTTAAATTATAAGCAAAGATTCTAAAAAGGAGACGTCACCCAATGAACTTTCCCTTTAGTAGTATAACTATCAGAACTCAGACAGAGTCCTGATATTTAGAAGTGGTGTGATAAGCACTGTTTTCTCTGGAGAAATTTAGGCACATGATGCATCCATTTGTCTCTCAACACACATAGTACAAAATTTTGAAAGGCCATTTTTGCTTTAAAGATGGATGCATAACTATAAAAGGAAAGAACAGGGAAAATGTTGCTGGGTTCAGGTACTAAGAATGAAAATTACAACACAAAGAGCAGGGACACAATGGCAAGGACAGAGATACAAGAGAATGGTATAGTTGTCCAACAATAGTAAGGCTGATGCTGATAGAACTGATGATTTAGTGCTATTATTAACGTACTTTGGGACCACAATAATATCTTCTGAAATTGTATGTATGTATCAGGGGTGGGTTCTATTTACCTTTACTACTGGTTTGCAATGGGACCACGCGCATGCTCAGATCACCCATGATGGCATCATGGCGGGTGGGCGGAGCCTCCTCCCAGTTTTACTACTGGTTCTATAGAACCGGACTGAACCAGGAACAACCACTGGTATGTATGTATGTATGTTTATATGTATAAAGCAGTGGTGAAATCTAAAATTTGTTCTGTGGGCGTGGCTTGGTGGGGGGTAATGTGACTGGGTGGGCGTGGCCATTTTTTCCCTTTTAAATCCATTTTTTCTACAACCTCTTCAGTGAAGAGGTTGTAAAAAAATGCTTTCAAAAGGCTCTAACGATCCCAGCTGAGTTGCCTGATCGGCAGAGGCTTTTTTTTCTTTTAAATGCCTCTAACGATCAGGCAACTCAGCTTGGATAGTCAGAGGCATTTAAAAGAAAAAAAGCCTCTGCCGATCAGGCAACTCAGCTTGGATCGTCAGCTGATGATCCCTTTGATGATCCCAGCTGAGCTGCGTGATCATCAGAGGCTTTTTTTTTTTTTTAAAAAGCATTTTTTCGGCCGAAGAGGTTAGAAAAAAATGCTTTTAAAAATTAAAAGAAAAAGCCTCTGATGATTGTGCAGCTCAGCTGGGCATGGGGGGGGGGCAGGGATTTTTGCTACCAGTTCTCTGAACCACCCCCTCCATCGCTACCAGATCAGGTGATCTGGTCTGAACCGGGAACATTTCACCCCTGGTATAAAGGTAAAGGTAAAGATTCCCCTCACACATATGTGCTAGTCGTTTCCAACTCTAGGGGGTGGTGCTCATCTCTGTTTCAAAGCTGAAGAGCCAGCGTTGTCCGAAGACATCTCCGTGATCATGTGGCCGGCATGACCAAACACCAAAGGCGCACAGAATGCTGTTACCTTCCCACCAAGGTGATGGTCCCTATTTTTCTTGCATTTTTTATGTGCTTTCAAACTGCTAGGTTTGCAGAAGCTGGGACAAGTAATGGGAGCTCACTCCATTACGGGGTACTAGGGATTCGAACCACTGAATTGCCATCTTTCAATCGACAAGCTTAGTGACTTAGCCACTGAGCCACTGCATCCCTATGTATATGTGTATATATATATACACATACCATTTTTTGTATATTTTTATAAATTACTACCATGTTTTCCCCTTGAGCTTCATCACTACCTGAGAAAAGTATCATTTAACAACAGTGCTGGAGAAAACATTTTCTTTGACCAGAATGGAAAAGTTGCATCTGGCTTTGATATTATCAACTGGGTCACCTTCCCAAATCAATCCTTTCGTAAGATCAAAGTTGGAAAAGTAAATCCATCGACTCCACTTGAAAGCCTTCTCTCTCTATCAGCAGATAACATTGTATGGCCCAACCTTTTCAACCAGGTATTTTTTTAATTCATTTTTCAAGAAGTGATTCACTGTTCGTACTAGATCTGATCTCCAAATAACTTGCTTGAAGAGTTGGGCAAATTAATGAATGTGATATTTGCTGATAGTTTTAAAACTACAGTGGGAGAAAAGTACATGAAAAGCAATATCCTTGATGCATAGTCAATAGTCCTTCCTATCTCTGTGTTAACTAGTCCTAATCCTTGAGATCTATCAAATGGATAAGAGATAGTTCCATTTGCAGTATGTCATTTTAAGAGATAAGAAAAGCACAGAATTTTAATAATTCTAATCAATAGAATAGAATAGAATAGAATAGAATAGAATAGAATAGAATAGAATTCTTTATTGGCCAAGTGTGATTGGACACACAAGGAATTTGGTGCATATCAGAGGTGGTATTCAGTTCTGGAAAACTGGTAGCAGAAATTTTGAGTAGTTTGAAGAACTGGTAAATACTAGCTCTGATTGGCTCCACCCCATCTATTCTCTGCCTCCCAAGTCCCAGCTGATTGGGAGGAAATGGGGATTTTACAGTAGCCTTCCCCTAGAGTGGGGTGGGAATGGAGATTTTACAGTATCCTTCCCCTGCCACGCCCACCAAGCCACGCCCACAGAAGTGGTAGAAAAAGTTTTTTAATCCCACCACTGGTGCATATGCTCTCAGTGTAGATAAAGAAAAAATAAAATATATTCATCAAGAATCATAAGATACAACACTTAGCGATAGTCATAGGATTCTAATAAGCAATCAAATCATACTAGAAAACAAAAGAATAATATAAATTGTAAAGATAGAAGCAATCTGGTTATAGCCATAAATGGGAAGAGGTAGGTACTAGAAAGGATGAGAAGAATAATAGTAATACAGTCTTAGTAAATAATTTGAAAAAGGAAAGAAAAGATTCCTTAAAGAAAGTCATCTCTAGACTGCTAATGTTTAAATTCTGTTTGTATTGCTCTTTGTTTTATTTAACAGTCTCAACCTCCTTCTTTGTGCAACAATCCCTGCGCCTTGGGTTACAGTAAGATCAAAATAGAAGGGAAGCCATTTTGCTGTTACAAATGCCTTCGTTGTCCAGAAGGGAAAATTGCCAACCAGACAGGTAAGAAATATTACAGGAATGTTGATATCTATTAGTTGTGAAGGTCAATAGGTTCAAAGCATTACCCAGGCTTCAGAGGCTGGAGTCTTTACCCCTATAGACTCTGGGGCAGGGGATAATATTCACTTACCTTTGCTACTGGTTTGCAAATGTGAGCACATGCACCACCTCCACGCATGCGCAGGACCTTCTGCACATGCGCAGAGCATTAAAAATGGGATGTGATGATGTCTGGGTGGGTGGACAGAGCCTTCCACCGCCGCCACTACAGATTCGCCTGAACTGGATAGAACCACCACTGCTCTAGGGATAGGAATGAATGCAAGAACAATAGTCAAACTCAAGAAACCAGGAGCCAGGCTAGAGTTCAAAAGCATTCTGAGTTTAATACCATATAACCAATGCAATAATCAAAGTCAAAGCAACTTGGCACAAGTTGAAGTGGAGTCAAAGTCAAGTGGAGCTGGATGTAGGTCTCTTTTGGACACTAAATAATGTCAAAGTAATTTCAAAGAATCTTATCTCAGGCAATTTATTTTTAGAACTTTCCTGGTCAATGTTGTTGTTGTTAGTTGCAAAGTCGTGTCCGACCCATCGCGATCCTATGGACAATGTTCCTCCAGGCTTTCCGGTCTTCTACCATCCTCTGGAGTCCATTTAAGCTCACACCTACTGCTTCAGTGACTCCATCGAGCTACCTCGTTCACTGTCGTCCCCTTCTTCTTTTGCCCTCAATCGTTCCCAGCATTAGGCACTTCTCCAGTGAGTCCTTCCTTCTCATTTGGTGGCCAAAGTAGTTGAGTTTCATCTTCAGGATCTGGCCTTCTAAAGAGCAATCAGGGTTGATCTCCACTAGGACTGACCGGTTTGATTGCCTTGCAGTCCAAGGGACTCGCAGGAGTCTTCTCCAGCACCATAGTTCAAAGGCCTCAATTCTTTGGCACCCAGCTTTTCTTATGGTACAACTTTCATAGCCGTACATTGCAATGTACATTGTGACTACACACACTTTTGTTGGTCTAAAGCCTTACAAATAATATCAAATCCCCAAACTCCCACTCTGTATGGTGACAGTTCCGAAATTCCAGGTAATTGAAGCATTGAAATTCAATGCTTCTGAAAGTTGGGGATGACTGGGCTAACTCTCAATATGCTTGACAATAGTGTTTCCTCTTCCAGATTCAGATGACTGCTTCCCGTGTCCTGAAGAAAGTTATCCCAACAAGGATCAGATTGTTTGCATAAAAAAACGCACAACTTTCTTGTCTTACAAAGAACCCCTGGGAATCATCTTGACCACTGTTGCTTTCTTCTTTTCTTTCATATCAACTGTGGTGTTGGGGATCTTCATTAAACACCAGGAGACTCCCATTGTCAAAGCCAACAACAGGAGCCTCACCTACATTCTTCTCATTGCTCTCCTGTTCTCTTTCCTTTGCATTTTGCTTTTCATTGGGCAACCTAACCAAGTAAAATGTCTCTTGAGACAAGCTGCTTTTGGCATCATTTTCTCTGTGGCCCTTTCTTGCATATTGGGCAAAACAATCATAGTGGTTCTTGCTTTCATGGCAACCAAGCCAGGCTCTAAAATAAGGAAATGGGTAGGGAAAAGATTAGCCAACACTATTGTGTCATCTTGCTCCCTGGTACAAATCACCATTTGCAGTGTGTGGCTGGCAATTTCTCCCCCATTTCCAAATTCAGACAAGCATTCCATGGCTAGAGAAATAGTTCTGGAATGTAATGAAGGTTCAGTCATCATGTTTTATATTGTGCTAGGATTTATGGGGTTCTTGACCTTTATCAGCTTCACTGTGGCCTTCCTAGCCAGGAAATTACCAGATAGCTTTAATGAAGCCAAATTTATAACTTTCAGCATGTTTGTTTTTTGCAGTGTCTGGATGTTGTTTGTCCCCACCTATCTAAGCACCAAGGGAAAGTACATGGTAGCTGTAGAGGTCTTCTCCATTTTGGCTTCTGCAGCTGGATTATTGGGTTGCATCTTTTTCCCCAAATGCTACGTTATTGTTCTGAAGCCTGAATTGAACAGAAAGGAGCAACTGATAAAAAAACAAAAATGAACGCCAAGTTTTATTGTTACTTATTGAGTAAGCTTCTTACTAAATCAAGCTTCATTCTGATGAACTGCTTACAATTTGCTAAAGTCAGCTTTAACTTTAAATTTCTCTTAGCATTTAAAAGAATAATTACTTCCTCCAACTGGAGTTTAAATGAAACATTACAGAAAGAAAAGTAATGGAAAATTAGGGGGGAAAAGGTGTTTCTTTTTTTACAATAATCTTAATAAAGATGCAGATATAAGAATGATTTAGATGTAAGAATGGAAAGATGTACTTTTATGAGAGGACATTTTATACAACTTAATAGAAAATTCAAAAGAGAGAGAGAGATCAGAATACACAAGTGATTTTAGATCAGATAAAAACAAAAGGAGAAGAATTAAAGAAATCCATTGGGAGGGGCAGGGGGGAAAGTCATTTCACACCAAATTAAACTCCTTCAATAGCAGTTGCCTAAAATGGAGGTAAAAGTGGTTTATGGAAAACAAAAGAATTTCAGTTTGCAAATTAGCTAGCAAAATGGTTGGCATATAAATTGAGGATCAAAAAAAAGAGAAAAACTATTAAAATTGCAAGATGGAATACCATAATAATGAATCTGTCAGTCATGGAAGCCATCTTTTACTTTGGATCTTCAGAGCTGCCACACTTAGTGCTGTGGGAAACTGGGAGAGGGGATTGCATGGAATTGTAGGGATAACTAGCCATAATAACATTCTTTTCTCTGAGAGCCAAGGACATTTTGCTGTGCACCTGGAGTGGTGTGACTGGGAGGCATCTCCAGTTGGGACGGTGCATTGATTGGACCATGTGATGGACATGTGGGTGCTGGGGCAGGGGCTTGGACTTTCTTTTGGGTGGGGAAAACCTGGAAGCTTTCAGATCCAGGTTTTCCCAGATGTGCCAATATGACATCTCTATTAAAATGGAACTTTGAGGAACTTCTAGCCTCTGAGTCTTCTTTCGTTGGGGATGTTACTTGGAACCCTGGCAGGATCATTTAAAAATGCAAAAAAAAAAAAAAAAACCCCTCATCAATATAATTATATAAAGGAGAAGAAGGTTCCTGACAAGAAACAAAATTTAACAAAGATCACAGATAAAGAAAAACAATGAATGGATCTATAACAAGAAGGGAGTTTTCTAAAGTTATTTTAAAAAAGGCAGAAATAGTCAAGAATTTCAATCAGATGATTTACCAGCCTCTTATTATAAATATTTTGAAGATGAGTTGTTACAACCTTTGTAAATAATAATATAATAATGAATTCTGTTTTATAGCCTAGGATAGATGCTAATATAACAATAATAGCTAAGGAAAGCCATTACTTGACTTACCAAAAATTAGTGTCTGGTATGGTTATTAAATAATAACTAGAGTTATTTTCTGCTGCATAGAAAGCCACAAATTATTTACATGGTGAAATCAATTATTTTCTTCTACACAGCTTTTCAGGTGTAGCATGGATAAAGCCACATAACTAAATGTTATAATGCAGGCATTGAAATGTAGCTAAATTAAACATACCTCCATCTGTATGTATCATGAACTGAACTAAGAAGCATGTTTTTTTTCAGATACAATATAATAAATGAATAAGTACTTTATTACAGTTGGTAGATGTTAGATGTAGGAAATTTTACTTAGTGAGAACTAACATACGACAAATCCATATTCATGTTTAAAAAATTCATTGGTGAAAGAAAGCTGTGAAATACTTTTGTTGTTAGTTGTGAAGTCATGTCCAACCCATCACGACTCCATGGACAACATTCCTCCAGGCCTTCCTGATTTCTACCATCCTCCTGAGTCCATTTAAGCTTACGCCGACTACTTCAGTGACTCCATCCAGCCACCTCGTTCTCTGTCTGCTGCAGGACTCGCAGGATGTCTTCTCCAACACAGTTCAAAGGCCTCAATGGTCCTTACAGGCACAGGATAGGTTAAGCATTTTGTGGGAGAATTTTAAATATTTGAAAACTGTTTTTTTTTATTCTTTTTAAAGTAATTTCTGTTCTCCTTGTATTTCACTTGCCAAACTGAAATCTTCTTATATTGCAAATACCTAGGAAAGCAATAGAAAATAAAGCAATTTAGTGTAGTGGTTGAAAATGCTAGATAAGAAACTGGTACATCAATGAAGACTCAATCATCCAGGCCAAAGGTGTCTAAAGATTGAATCATGGCAACTGGACCATACTTTGTTAATTTTGAGATGTTACTTTGGTCATCCAAGCAACTTCATCAATCAGAGGAGAATTACGTAGGCGGAGAATCAGAAAATTGTTGGAATGTACCAACTCTTACCATACCAATTTCAGGGGTTTCTCCCCAAAATAGCTTGCAATATATCAATTAAGACTCAATCATCCAAAGATTGGATTGTGGCAACTGGACCAAACCTGGAAGACTGTGGGTTCTGATTTGTGCTTGTCACAAGGTTAACCAGATAACTGAGCTAGTCACTGCCTCTCAACTTCAGAAAGAAGACTAGGGCAATCATCATCATCATCATCATTATCATCATCATCATCATCATCATCATCATCATCATCACATTTTTCCTGCAAGTGCAGGGTCTGTTTTTTTGGATCAATACCATATTGTGCGATCAAATGCAGCATCCAAGTCTAACTGGGCATTTTTCATGTCCACATTTATTGTATCTTGCCATCTTTGCTTCAGCCCTCTATTTATTGCACTTGCCATCTATATTAAAGTGGAAAGTGAGGTAGCCAATGGTGTTCAGTGCTGCTTGTACAACATGGCCATACCATTCTAGGCATTTCTCCTGCACTTTCTCTTATATTGGCGTGATGCCCACTTGCCATTTGCTATGACAAACAACTTCTGAAAATGTTATGAAGAAAACTCCGTGGACTTGTTTTTATTAATACCACGAGTCAAGACTGAATTAATCAACCAGAACAACAATAATGCTGAACATACATTTTGTCACATGAACTCATTTTATTACAATTATTTAAAGGATTGCTGACTAAAGAAGAGTAACACACTCTTGGTGGCCTAAAACCATATATGTTTTTGATAAATAATGAAGCTTTTTGATTGAATGTTGGTTGTTTTCTTATTTTGAAAGCATATTCTAAATATAAAACTGATTTCCATGTCATGCCGTTGGTACCAGTACAATGCTGGCAAACTCAATCTTTTTCACTCATTATGTTAGTACCATATTTTTCAGACTATAAAACACACCTGACTATAAGATGCACCTAAATTTAGAAGAGGAAAACAACAACAACAACAAAAGTTTTTGGCCTCCCTTTTTGGGGGCCTTTTTTCAGCCCTTTTCCAGTCTTTTTTTAGCCAGTTTTTGAGACTTTTGGGGCCTGGTTTTCAGGGCATTTTTTGGCTCATTTTTCAGGCCTTTTTGGGCCCATTTTCGAAGCTTCTTTGGCCCATTTTGAGGCTTTTTGGCCCATTCTTTAGGCTTTTTTCAGCCCATTTTTTCTGAAAAAATGGGCCAAAAAAGCCTCAAGAATGGGCACAAAAAGCCTCAAAAACAGGCTGAAAAAAGCCCTGAAAATGGGCCGAAAAAGCCTCCAAAACAGGCCAAAAAAAAAAGCCTCAAAAAAGGCCAAAAAAAGCCTTGAAAATGGGCCAAAAAGGCCTGAAAAAGACCAAGAAAAAAAAGGGGGGGCAAAAACAGGGCACGTGGAGGACAAAAAATGGCTGGCAGATGGATGGGGCTTCGGCAAAATTCGGTCTATAAGACGCACAAACATTTTCACCCCCTTTTGGGAGATAAAAAAGTGTGTCTTATAGTCCAAAAAATATGGTAATTCATTTTCTGTGACCTTCTGTGACCTTGACTGCAATCTATTTTTCCCCTTGCTGCTATACAGAAAGCCACAAATCCTTTACACCAAAGTGAGATCAATTTCAGAAAGAGTTGAACAACTCATAATTGTACCCCATAATTGACCCTGTTTAATTCTATTCCTCTGGACCCTAAGGACTTCCAAAGACAGAGCAAAGCAAGAACACAACCAAGACTACTGTTATCAATATTCCTTGTTCCTAAACATATTCAAGTAGCTTGAACAGAAAGACTACATGAGTCTAACTGTTTTGGGTACACATTTCTGCATTCAGATCAACCCAGAAAAACAGATCTGGATTCAAATCATATATCTATAAGCCATATCAATGATCATTTGTGGAAAGGACAGCTGTTTTGCTATGTTATACTTCAGGTTGTGGCTGATAATATGGCTTCCTCAGATCATGTGCCATGATGCTAAATGCACCAACAACAACCCAATTATTAAATACAAGTCTTATCATTCAGGTGATTTCAACATTGGTGGAATTATTTCTCTGATCTATGTGATGTCTAATTTGATAACTTTCAAAACAATTCCATCGGAAGAACTTCTTGATGATCCCATGTATGTAGATGTTATTCTTAATTCTACCAACACTCAAATATGGCTGGATAACGGGTCCGTGTGTTTTGGGAGGGCAGAAATTATTGCAATTTCAAATTCAACTCCTTTTAGTCATCTTTCCACTGCTCAGAGAGTCTATTCTTTTTATGACATACTGTACTTCATAGGTGTTGCTTATTTTTAAAGACAGTCCTTTTCTTCCAATTTCTTCAACTTCATAAAATTTACAAAACTGCACTTGCCTTGGTCTCACTTAACAGATATTGCAGTTTCCCCCCATTCTCTGCTTCCTGATTTCCCAGTATTTTCTATCCCAAATTTCCATGGCACACCAATTCAGCAATAGCATGTATACAAACAATCAGCTTTTTCTCTTGACTGATTGAGTCTGACTGAAATTCATCAGTGAAGTAAAGCATATGTCAGGCTTCTGTATATGCCAGAGGCTCAACCAAGCTTGTTTGTGATTTTGAAGGATGCTTTCTATGTTGTTTTATGCTGACGTAAAGTCTATGCAAATTTTTATTTCATAGACTTTTCCAGTTCATATACTATTTAATCAGACACATATCAAAAGATCCTCACAGAGGATGTTTTGGGATGTGTAAAGGGGTGGGGCGTGGAATGGTGCTACAACAGACCTGGTATTTGGCTGTCCCTGCATGGCCCACATGAGATTATTAGAAATTAGAAATCAAATGTATAAAAGCATATGCCATGCATGCAATACAACTGCATTTTTATTTTGAAGGCAACATTTATTTCTTTATCAATTCCATCTGTTCCTACACACCTTCACAGTAATGTGTTCAGCTGTCCACAACGGTCGCATTTTCTCATACGGCTTCTAGGGAAAATTAAATTCCTACCTCCATTCTAGAAAACCAGCTAGAAAAATTCTTTAAAGAAGGAAAAGAGTTAAATAATTTAGAGGCAAAAGACAAGCAGAATCATTTTATGCAATGACTATAAGCAAAGCAGTAGCACCAATGGCAAATGTTTTGCTTTGAGAAGAACACTTGAATCAATCTTTTGCAGCAAAATCTACATTTTTAGGTACAAAAATAAGTTCATTGATTATTGTGTGAGATTCTTATGTTGAGAAATGAGTTTAACTATACCAGTGTAGAGAGGGAAGAGGGGAAGGTGAGAGACAGAATTCTTTTAAGTGTGACCATGTAGAAAACATAAACACGGAAGCACAATACTTTGGTCTTCACCTTATAGAACTAGCACTAACACTTAGACCACTTATATACCACTTCTTAGTACTTTACAGCCCTTTCTACGTGGTTTACAGAGTCAGCATATTGCCCCCAACAATTTGGGTCCTCATTTTACCAACCTCGGAAGGATGGAAGGCTGAGTCAACCTTGAGCCTGGTGAAATTCGATCTGCCAAATTGCTGGCAGCTGGTGATCAGCAGTAGTAGCCTGCAGTACTGCACTCTAATCACTTTGCCACTGCGGCTCATTATATGTAGAAAGAATGTTGCATCTTCAGTTGAATTTCACCTTGGCAGTTTCACAGTCTAACTCACCTATGTGATTACTTTTCTAGTGTCAAAAATCCTTGATATCAAAGAAAGGACTTCTTAGGAACTGAAGTCCATAGGAACTGGCAATGTTTCCTTTCCAAGTTTAATATATTGCCATTTCTAATATGGTTCAATGCACAACATTTAATCTTTCAAAATGATTGAAATAGCCCAATGCTAGAAAAAAAATGTATAGATAATTTAGTTATCTCAAAGAAATGGATACCAAACATGTTATTTGCAAATGAGCTGATTCTGTATTCACCTTTATGGAACAGCAAGGACAAGTATTTTCCAGTTTTTCCTTGGGGTGGGAGTAGTGGTGGGATTCAAATAATTTAACAACTAGTTCTCTGCCCTAATAATGCCCTTCCAACAACCAGTTCACCAAACTGCTCAGAAAGTTAACAACCAGTTCTCCCGAAGTGGTGCGAACTGGGTGAACCCCACCGCTGGGTGGGGGGATACAGTCTATTTTTTGTACCCAATGCTTACAGAGGTTTTTAATTTGATATGTAACAAATTATCTGTGTGGAAATGCAAGTCTTATGACAGAGGCATTAACCTCCCTTGAAGTATATTTCTACAGAATCATCTACATATCTTGTCCTTGATGTTTGCTGTAAAGGAGATCAATGAAAACCCTCAGATCTTGCCAAACAGCACTCTGGGCTTTAGGATATCTAACAGTTATTTCATGGCAACATGGACCTACCTGGCTTCTATGGAGCTTCTTTCTTCACATGACAGATTTGTTCCCAATTACAAATGCAGCATCCACCAAAACTCAATTTGCGTTATTGCTGGACCCAACTCTCATATCTCCCAGGTTATGGCAGACATCCTGAGCGTTTATAAAATTCCACAGGTAAGGCCTGCTCAAGAAAAAAAAGCAGAAATGTTATTGATTTGTAACTTTCTCTTGAATGACATTTCTTCTGTTTGTTGTAACTAATGGCAACCAGAACATAATAAAATAACATCTGGCAACACAATACTTTCATACTTTTAATCCTAAATTACTAAAACTTGTACAACAGGTTTCAGAAAAATATGTCCTGTTTTAAGAGATATTTTTATTTTAATTTGAAATATTTATTTGTTGATTTCCATGAGAGCTGTATAGTTGTTAAGAGAATCCCAACTCTAAAATAACAAGAAAAATAATACTTACTGCACAGCTAAAAGATTAAAGCTGTTAAATAAACAAAACATGGCTGAACAGTGATTTCAAAATAGCATTTTGATTCAAATAGCAAAATGATTCAAAATACATTTTGGCTTGTCTGCAGACAGATGTCGAAGTGACTGATCTATAGAAGCTAGGAAAATTTTCATTGAAAAATTCAACAACCTTTTCACAAAACATCAATGAAGTTGCTTCCTTGCTCTCTCAATCCCTCAGTGGAATCTGGAGCAGGAGCCATTATCACCTTTGAGAAAATAGTTGGAAGTTATACCTAGAAGACATCTAGAATCATTTATAAAATTTAGAAGATATACAGGTGAAACTCGAAAAATTAGAATATCGTGCAAAAGTTCATTTATTTCAGTAATGCAACTTAAAAGGTGAAACTAATATATGAGATAGACTCATTACATGCAAAGCGAGATAGTTCAAGCCTTGATTTGTCATAATTTTGATGATTATGGCTTACAGCTCATGAAAACCCCAAATTCACAATCTCAGAAAATTAGAATATTGTGAAAAGGTTCCATATTCTAGGCTCAAAGTGTCCCACTCTAATCAGCTAATTAAGCCATAACACCTGCAAAGGGTTCCTGAGCCTTTAAAATGGTCTCTCAGTCTGGTTCAGTAGGAATCACAATCATGGGAAAGACTGCTGACCTGACAGTTGTGCAGAAAACCATCATTGACACTCTCCATAAGGAGGGAAAGCCTCAAAAGGTAATTGCAAAAGAAGTTGGATGTTCCCAAAGTGCTGTATTAAAGCATTAGAAAGTTATGTGGAAGGGAAAAGTGTGGAAGAAAAAGGTGCACAAGCAGCAGGGATGACCGCAGCCTGGAGAGGATTGTCAGGAAAAGGCCATTCAAAAGTGTTGGGGACTTTCACAAGGAGTGGACTGAGGCTGGAGTCAGTGCATCAAGAACCACCACACACAGACGGATCCTGGACATGGACTTCAAATGTCGTATTCCTCTTGTCAAACCGCTCCTGAACAACAAACAATGTCAGAAGTGTCTTACCAAGGACCCAGAGTCTGGAGGAAGAATGGCTGTACACCGCCCTGAGTTCTTCGGGAGGGGGCGGTATACAAATTAAATTATAAATAAATATAAATAAATAAATAAAAATGATAGATTATATTAAAAAATCTTGCAAGAATTTAGAAGGGTTCTTTCTAAAAGGCTTTCTATATCTCCTCTACTTGTGGATTGAGATACTTTTTACATGATCATTGGCTAGTCTATGGCTCTGCCTCCAGCTTCTCAAGGTTATCCCCACATCCCATGTCCCAGATACTTTTTAAAATAACTATATCTATGTCTATCTCTTTTTCTATTTTCTTTTTAGCTCACATATGGCTCTGCTCCACTGATCAATAATGAGATTCATGCAGCTTTCTTTCATCAGATGTTTCCGAATGAGCACCTCCAGATTATGGGGATCCTCCAGTTGCTGCTACATTTTAAGTGGACCTGGATTGGGCTGATTTGTCAAGCAAATGAGATTGGTGAAAGATTTCTGCGGGAAGTTCTGGTTGTGTTTTCTGAGAAAGGAATCTGCTTCGATTACATTGAAGAGCTTCTAGTAGAAGTTTTTTCCAATGGAGTGGGAGAAAAAATGGATACATTTCTTAAAATGTACGAAACCATTATGACAAGTTTGTCCAATGTTGTGATTGTATATTGTGAAAACCAGCTCATGGCTCTTTTCAGAATGATCTCCTCTGTTTCAGAATATTGGGACACAATGGTTGAGAGAAAAGACAAAGTTTGGATTTTTCCAGCCCAGATGGAATCTACTTCAGTTCCATTTCAAAGAGACTGGAGTATGGACTACATTCATGGGGCTCTTTCTTTTTCAGCTTCATCAAAAGAATTATTAGGTTTCAGTAGGTTTCTTCAGATGGGAAACAGCATTCTAGGAAAGGAAGACAGCTTGTCAAGGGTCTTTTGGGAACAAGCATTTGGATGTTCTTTCTCACAAGCCACATTAAACCTCAAGTCAGAGAAAAGATGCACTGGGGACGAGAAGCTGGAGACTCTTCCAATGTCTGTTTTTGAATTGAGCATGACTGGACAAAGCTACAGTATCTACAATGCAGTCTATGCTGTGGCACATGCTCTCCAGGCCATGCTTACATCCCACTCCAAACACAGAGCAATGGTCCTGGGTGGGAGACAGAACCCTCTGAATCCTCAAGTGTGGCAGGTAATTTTCTGTATTTATTAATCTAGAAGTTGATATTGCTTCCCTATCTACATCTGTCCACAAAGAATATGGAAACCAAATTAAATATAAGGTTGGAGAAATGAATTAAATGGATCACAATATCCACATCTTCAGATCCCATATAAAATGGTGGGTTTCTCCTAGATTGTTTTTTTAATGACACAAAGTTCCAGATATTTTGATTACTTTTCATATTTATATTTTATATTTTTTTAAATTTTTATTTTTCATTTTTCCAATTTACATAATAAGAATTTTTTAACAGTACTGAGACATGTGTCTCTTACAGTTATCCGCGCGGGGGATTATGGGAGCGACTGGGCGCTCCCATGTGACTCCTCTCCTGCGTGAGCTGCATTGGCTTCCGGTGGACTTCCGGGTGCGCTTCAAGGTGTTGGTGATCACCTTTAAAGCGCTCCATGGCTTAGGGCCAGGGTACTTACGGGACCGCCTTCTGCCACCAATAGCCTTCCACCGGCCAGTTCGCTCCCACAGAGAGGGCCTCCTCAGGGTGCCGTCGGCTAGACAATGCCGGCTGGTGAGCCCCAGGAGGAGAGCCTTCTCTGTGGTGGCACCTACCCTTTGGAACAATCTACCCCCAGAGATACGAGTGATCTCCGACCTCCGGACCTTTCGTCGGGCCCTAAAAACTCATCTTTTTCAGTTAGCCGGTCTCTCTTGATTTTATGGTTGGTTTTAAATTTTGATATGGATTTTAAATTGATAAATTTTAAACTATGGGCCAAATTTAATTATTTTAAATCTATTTTTAATCGTACTTATGTATAAATGTTTTTTATTTTGGCTGTTCACCACCCTGAGTCCGAAAGGAGAAGGGCGGTATAGAAATTCGAATAATAAATAATTAAATAAATCTACATTTATTTCTATACATTTTTGTTTCTCTTTTTTAACCACTTATATCACTTATCCCAAACTGACATATTTATATTTTATATGGATTTTTTGTATTATTAAAAATGGTACCAGTTCTGTTTTGCAACAATGCAATGCTTCAGTAACCTGATGATCAAAATGGGCTTTCTACCAGGGGTGAAATCCAGCAAGTTCTGACAGCTTCTGGAGAACCGGTAGCGGAAATTTTGAGCAGTTCGGAAAATTGGCAAATACCACCTCTGGCTGGCCCCAGCGTGGGTTGGGAATGGAGATTTTTCAGTATCCTTCCCCTGGAGTGAGGAGGGAATGGAGATTTTGCAGTATCCTTCCCCTGCCACACCCACCAAGCCACACCACACCCACCAAGCCATGCCCACAGAACTGGTAGTAAAAAAGTTTGGATTTCACTCCTGCTTGTTACTATTGTGTCTCCTCAATACTATTTATTTTATTTAATTATTTAATTAAATTGTAGGGAAAGACCATAAAAAAAGAACATCTTCCTAGTTGTTTAAGAATCATGCAAGAAGCATTCTTTTCTCTGGAAATATTCACATGAGGCATCTATTTTCTCTCTCAACAATATAGCAGAGAATATTGAAAGGTCATTTGTGTTTAAAGATAAAGCATAACTATAAGAGGGAAGAAGAGGGACAAAACATTGGTGACTTCTGGCCATGAGAATGAAAATTAGAACACAGAGAGAAGAGTAGACAGAGGTGAGACTGGAGAGGAGAATGCCAAATGATAGTAAGGAGATGAACATGGTACTATTGCTGGTGGCATCATGTACCTCTGAGTGATAGACAAGAAAAAAGGACTGTTGGGGGGCGGAGCTGGCATCACGATGGTACGACGGGCGATCTTGAAGCTCCAAGATCGCCGTTGATATCTTCATCACTGGACAGTCTGTTTTCAGACCTCACTGTCCTGTAGAGATGGTGATAGTGGAGGGCACATTCTGTTGATCCCAAGGACACCGCAAAGTCCCTGGTTGATCCAGGAGAAGCCCTTTTCTCCGGCGATGAAGAGGCAGCCATAAAAGCTGCTGAAGTTGGGACAGCTCTGGAATGAAAGAGATCGAGTGAAAGTGTGTCAGCTTGGTGAGAGAACTTTTAAATAGATTATTTTGAGAGAACACCCTGAGGTCTTAAGGAAGTCAAAATTGAAGACAGAAGAAGAGGAAGTGACGGTATTAAGCTTGAGTCAAAGGTAGTTTTGCTTAATTTTCTATTTATTTTTATGTGTGGATGCTTAAGGACAATTTTATTTTGTAACTCAGACTGGGCTGGATTGGATTGGAGATTTCCACTTTATCTACTCAAGTAATAACTTTTTAATGCCTTTTGAGTATAAATCTTTTATTTGTTTTCTTTTTATCTATTTTTCTCTTTCTCTCCATTTATATTTTATGGTGGATTGAACAGCAAGAAGGCAGGGAAGGTGGACAAAATAAGTAGCACTGCCATCTAGTGGATTGGAAATATTGCTGCCTTTTTTTTCTTTGGCTTAAGAAAGTAACAACTGTGTTATTCTTTCAAGGACGCTGAGCCTAGTCATAGATAAGATAGTGGGAAGAGCATCAAAGACAGTCTGCAGGATTGTTTACCCAGGTGGTCTTCTGGGAAACTGTCAGTGGCAGGAGTCTGAGATTGAAAAGAAGAAGATTACAGTGACTCTGGAAAGAGAGCTGTAAATATATATTTGAGATTCAACAAAAGAATATGTTTCTCTTTTCTTTTCTCATTTTTTTTTCTTTTTCTGGTGCTACTTCTCCACTCTCCCTTTATTAAATTACCTTTAACCAGACTGTGATTTTTTTTTGAAGGACTTCTAATTTTTCACACATATATAGATTTTTTCCTCATGTTTGGCTCTTCTTTTCTTTTTTGGTGTTTTTCTGTTCTTATTAAATTGGATTAAGGCATACAAGAGCTTGAAGACCTTTTCTTTTCTTTTCTTTTTTAAATATACTTTATTGGTTTTGTAAATACTTTATTTGGTTCTTTTTTGTTAAAAAAGAATAACAACAGATCTCTACTAAGATCAGCAGTGCAGTGTCTGTACATATTTACAAGATATATAACAGATATACTACACACTTAAATTGCAAATAATAAGCACAGTAATAAGCATACCCTGACATCATGATTTTATCCTATTATTTAACCATTCATACCACTTTCCCCATATTACTCGGTGTTTAAACTCCTCGTCGTTGTTTAGCTCATTCGTTAGTTTTGACATTTCTGCACATTCTAAAATTTTATTTATTAAAATTTCCTCCGGTGGTATGGTTTTTTCTTTCCAAAATTTTTCATAGACCTTTTCTACCTTCTTTTTTTTTCTTCCTTTTTTGTGTTTTTTTGTGGTCTTTTTTTTTTTGCTTTTTTTTTTTTTTGCTTACTGGTAACTGGGACAACATCTGTCCTATATATAAGTGGATTAAGGTATAGAAGAACCTGAAGATTTTCTATTTGTTTGAACCTTTCGCAAGCACCTTACAGAAATGTGTAGAAAGGCAATAGCTATTGGTTCATCTACACCAACTCCTTCCTCTTCACCATCTGGAGAACAATGATCAATACAGACAATGTTACAACAGGAGAAGGAAAAGGAAGTGACACTGCATATGATTTGGCAAGGAATTCAAAAAATACACACAAGAGTAGAGAATATTGAACAGAGAACAGAAAAAAACAGATGAAAAGGTGGAGAACATACAGCAAATGATGAAGAAATAAGAGGATAGACTCCAAAAGATTGAGGAAAAAGAAGAACAAAGAGAGAGAAAAAATCAGTGACATTGACAACAGATTGGATGAGGTCAAACAAGATAAAAGTGGAATATTGGGATGGGAGATGGATAGAGCAGAATTTTACCTCAGATTCCAAAATATAGAAGAAGAAAAGGGCGAAAACATGATAGAAATAATGATAGAAATTCTAGCAGAAGCATTAGAAATTACTAAAGAAAAGATGATGGATGGCATAGATGAGATATTTCGAGTCTCTACAAGATATGCAATGAGAAACAAGTTACCAAGAGAAGTCCATATAAGATTCGCTAAGAAATATTGCAGATTATTAGAGAGAAAACATTGAAGTGCTAAACAGAACTATTTTGAAGATGCAAATAAACCAGGTAGATGGTTAGCATACAAATTGAAAAAAGGGAGAGAATCAAGAAAAATAATACAACTAGTGGATGACCAAGGACAAACTAGATATGGAAATAAAGAGAAGAAAAAAATTATACAAGATTATTATAGAAAACTGTATGAGCAAGAGAACATAGATGAGAAAAGTGTTAAACAATACCTGCAGAAGGCGAATTTACCCCAGATTTCTAAAGGCACTGAAATGATGTTAGAAGGAAATATAACAATGATGGAACTAACTGAAGCACTCAAAAAATAAAAGAATGGGAAGGCACTAGGCCCGGATGGATTGCCAGCAGAATATTATAAGACACTACAGGAATCACTGAATCTTCCATTGTTAGAAGTCATGAATGAAGTCATGTCAAAGAAGAAATTACCCAAGTCATGGTTAGAAGCATATATTACACTTATTCCAAAGGAGGACACTGACCCACAACAAATCAAGAATTATAGGCCTATTTCTCTGCTACATTCAGACTACAAAATCTTCACTTATATATTGGCAGAAAGACTCAAAAGATATTTAAATAACTTTATACATTCTGATCAAAATGGGTTTCTGCCAAAAAGACAGAGGTTTTGGTTTGCCTAATTGGGAACTATATTATCAAGCTACAAGTTAGATGTGGATCAAGGAATGGATAACATTAAGAAACATTAAGAAATGCTAGATTATTGACTTTAGAAGGACATGACTTGTTATTACTACTATCTGGAACGAGCTCCCCCCAGAGATACGGAGGATCCCGGATCTGCGCACCTTCCACCGCGCCTTAAAGACCTTACTATTTCACCAGGCCGGCCTGGCCTAATTTTCCCCCTCTTTCATAAAAGATTTTTAAAATTTTAAATATCTTTTAGTATTTTATATATTCAATTTTAAATTGGTTTTAAAAGTTTGGGGTTTTAAATTTGTCGGGGCCAAAATTATTTAATTTGATTTTATTCTATTTTTAAATTTTGTATTGTATGTGTTTTTATTGTTTGGCTGTGCACCGCCCTGAGTTCTTCGGGAGTAGGGCGGTATAGAAATCTAAAAAATAAAATAAATAAAATAAATAAATAATTATTGGGTTGGCATGCATTTTTGTGGTACAAGGAAACAAAAACACAGGGGTATTTTAGAAGGCACTTTATACAAGAGGCTTTGCTATTAAATTGGGAGAAGGTAAAAAGACAACATTACTTAAAAATTCCAGTCTGGTTATCATCTATTGAAGCATTCTCATATTCAATAATATTTAGAAAGGGACAAATTGTTAGATATAGTGAAATATTGAATGAAAAGGGTGAACTTAAATCTATGCAAGAATTAGAAGTACAAGGTATAAAGATGAACTGGTTTTCTTATTTGCAAATATAGTCTAGACATGATAAAGATTATAAAACAAGGTTTTTATAATAATTTGACTAGTTTAGATAAAATTTTAACAGGTACTGATGAAAACATAATTAAGAAACTATGGATATTTATTAGAGGTTAAATTGGAAGATGAACAAGTTAAAGAAACAATGATTGCTTGGGGGGAAAATTTTGGACATAGAATTGATTTAGAGAAAGGGCAAAAATTGTGGTCGCAAAATTATAAAATGACAATATCAACTGCATATAAAGAAAATTTGTATAAGATGTTTTACAGGTGGCATTTACCCCCGATGAGAATAACCAGAATGTTCAAGAATAAATGTTGGAAATGTCATCAGATACCGGGCTCATATTACCATATGCGGTGGATGTGTGTAGAAGCTAAAAGATACTGGACTAAAATCCACACATGGGTGGAAAAAATGACACAAAAGCATATAGACTTTAAACCAGAGATCTTTTTATTGGGGATGGTATCTGAAATATACAATAAAGAATTGAGATATTTGATTGTGAATGTATTAACAGCAGCTAGAATTGTGTTTGCTAAAAATTGAAAAAATGAGAAAATCCCAACGCAAGAAGAAGTTATTAAGAAAATAAATGGAGTGTGCTGAAATGAGTAAATTGACATTTGAAATTAAAGAACAAGAAGATAAACAATATTATAAGCTATGGGACTTATTCTACCAATGGTTAGATAAAAAAATATGGAAATGAAATATGATCTTTCTAATACAAGAAATGTAGAATTATATAAAATATAAGATAAAGATGTTCTATTATTGGAGCAATTTAAGAGAATGAAATGAATGGTATAATATAAATTAACTCAATTTTAGAATATCTGAAATGAAACGGAGGGAAGAAATAGCCATAGTTAAATATATGGTTAATTAGGATAATAAATGTATGGATATACATGAATAAGGTACAAAAGATTTGTAACCAACAGACACACTGTTTGTATTTGTGATTGAAGATAGCTTTTTATTTGTTTTTTTTTATATTTGTATAAAAATAATTTTTTTTCAAAAACCAGAAAAGAAAAAAGGACTGTTAAGGTCTCTTAGCACTTCTGTGTGTCTCTGTCAGCCTTCTGGTTTCTGTCGATAGTAGTGAGGAATTAGTACTATTATTGTCATGCCCCTGTCGGAGTCTGAATCCGAAGGGGAAGAGGAACAGAGAGTGAGAGAGTGGATCTGTTGGCTGTGGAAGAAACTGGGGAAGTGCAAAGTCAGGCTGGGCAGAGCAGGGGAGAGGTAGAACAAGGGTGAGGGGGTTCAGATGAAGACCAAGGCCCACTCTCTCCTCATCCTAGGCAGCGCAGGGAGGAATGGAGAAGAGAGCAACATGGGTTGCATGGTTTATGAGGGAAGAAAGGGATCCGATCCTCTTTACAAGACACAGCTGCTGATGGAGTTTAAAAGTAGAGGCAAATGAGAGGGGCGGTTGTCGGGAACAAATGCTGAGTTCATCTGGTGTTTATCTGAGTTCCTGGCATCCTCCCAACTGGTTTGATTTACTGCTGTGCTACTTCACTTCTGGAATTCCCTATTTTGCTTGCCTGGCCAGATTAATTACCTTGTCTTGCCTTGTTGGAATTTTTTGTTGAAAGTTTTCTCTTTACAACATTTGGGACTGAAGTATTGTCAGCCAAAAACTATTACAGGTTGGTGGAAGAGCTTCTCCAGCCGGAGAGTTGAAAGGGACATTGAAGGCACAGTTGGTGATAATAAAGGGACTCATATTGGTTCTCTGGCTGTGTTGCCTTTGTGTCACACCCCGGATCATCACAATTATCATCATATCAGTAGCATTATTACAATGCTGCGGGAACACAATAATATTGCAGGATTCAATCTGGGTCAGTCACTGGAGCAGAGTTTTAGTCTTCTGATCTTTCAGACTCATGCTGGAGCCCATCCTCAGGGAACTTCTCTCTAGCAGAGTGTGTGCTTTGTAGTATTTATGTGTGTGTGGCTTTTTAGTTGTTGAGTTTAGTTGTCAACAACTAAAAGGCCAGGCACCACATAAATGCCACACATAGAATAGTCCAGAGAACACATTCTGGTGAGAGAGAAGTTCCCCGAGGATGAGCTTCAGCATGAATCTGAAAGCTTGGAAGACTAAACCAGTTCCAGTGATCCACCCAGATTGGATCCTGCAATGTTATCCTGGGACACATACATTTGTCTTCATTTGTAACACAATAATATCTTCTGAAACAATGTTGCTGTAGATTTTTGGCATTCTTGTATGCTTTTTTAGAATAGAATAGTATAGAATTCTTTATTGGCCAAGGATGACTGGACACACAAGAATTTGTCTTGGTGCATACGCTCTCGGTGTACATAAAAGAAAAGATACATTCAAGAATCATAAGGTACAACACTTAATGATAGTCATAGGGAAACAGTCAATATAAATCTTAAGGATACCAGCAACAAGGTTACAGTCATACAGTCATAAGTGGGAGGAGATGGTTGATAAGAACAATGAGAAGATTAATAGTAATGCAGACTTAGTAACTAGTTTAACAGTGTTGAGGAAAATATTTGTTTAGCAGAGTGATTTTATTAATTACGGTTATGTTCTTCCCTTGAGCTTCATCACTACCTAAGAAAAGTCTCATTTAACAACAGTGCTGGAGAAAATATTTTCTTTGACCAGAATAGGAAGGTTGCAACTGGCTTTAATATTATCAACTGGGTCACCTTCCCAAATCAATCATTTCTTAGGATCAAAATTGGAAAAGTACATCCATCAGCTCAGCTAGAAAGCCTTCTCTCTCTATCAGAGGATGACATTGTCTGGCCCAACGCTTTTAAACAGGTACGTATTATTCATTTTTTTTCAAGGAGGGGTTGAAAATGTATCAGCAAATATCTGATTCATTAATTTGTCCACCTGTTGAAGCAATTATTTGGAGATCATGCTGCAGCTGATAGTTTTAAAACTACAGTGGGAGAAAAGTACATGAAAAGCAATATTCTAGATGCTCAAATTGATTTTGCAGAAAAAAAAGTATCTCAAAACAGTCATTCCTACTTCTGAGCTAATTAGATAATTAGCCCTAATCCTTGAGATCTATCAGATGAATGAGAGACAGTTCAGTTTGCATGGCTCATTATGCCAGAATAGTATTTTAAGGGATAAGACAAGTCTTGTACACTAGCATAAAATGTTTGATAACTCTAATTAGGAGAAGGAGAAGGAGAAGGAGATGGAGAAGGAGGAGAAGGAGAAGGAGAAGGAGAAGGAGAAGGAGGAGAAGGAGAAGGAAAAGGAGAAGGAGAAGAACTCTTTTCATGTATTCAAATTATGTTTATACTTTTACCTGTTATCTTATATATGCTTGACAAATAAACTGATGATGATGATGATGAAGAAGAAGAAGAAGAAGAAGAAGAAGAAGAAGAAGAAGAAGAAGACTAATCAAGGAGAGAAGCAACTTAGAACTAAGGAGAAATTTCCTGACAGTTAGAACAATTAATCAGTGGAACAACTTGCCTCCAGAAGTTGTGGATCCTTCAACACTGGAAGTTTTTAAGAAGATGTTGTATAACTATTTGTCTGAAGTGGTTTAGGGTTTCCAGGGGGTTGGATTAGAAGACATCCAAGGTCCATTTCAACTCTGTTATTCTATTCTATTCTATTCTATTCTATTCTGTTCTGTTCTGTTCTGTTCTGTTCTGTTCTGTTCTGTTCTGTTCCGTTCCGTTCCGTTCCGTTCCGTTCCATTCCATTCCATTCTATGAAGATGATATTTCTCAAAGTTTATCAATCTATTAGTAAATTGCTAATAATTAGAGTATAATTTGCTCTTTTTTAATTTACAGACTCAACCTTTTTCTTTATGCAATGAGCATTGCTCCTTGGGGTATAGCAAGATCAAAATAGAAGGGAAGCCATTTTGCTGTTACAAATGCCTTCATTGTCCAGAAGGGAAAATTGCCAATCAGACAGGTAAGAAATGTCATACAAGAATGTTGATATCTATTAGTTGTGAAGGTCAATAGGTTCAAAGCACTACCCAGGCTTCAGAGGCTGGGAATTTACCCTACATTTACCCTGGAGATAGAAATGGTTGCAACAACAACCATGGGATTGTCCCAAATCAACATGGTTCCAATTCACAAAAGGTCCAATAAACTGTTCCAAAAATTCCTTTATTTCACTGGTAACAAAACAAGGCTAAGGATCATTCCTAGCTAGGGTAGATCAATATATGGAAAACAGAAGTGAGATGTTTAAGTTCAAGGCTCAATTCAATTTTAAGCATGTACATAAAATCAAATGTTATCTGATTAATTAAAGTTAAATTTCAAGGTTCTGTTCTCATCCAATTTAGCATTAGTATTTAGGCTTACATACTCTTCCATAGCAAGAGCAATAGTATTAGCAACTGGACTTATATACCGCTTTACACAGCTTTACAGCCCTCTCTAAGCAATTTGCAAAGTCAGCATATTGCACGCAACAATTTGGGTCCTCATTTTACCCACCTTGGAAGGATGGAAGGCTAAGTCAACTTTGAACCTGGCAAATTGCTGGTAGCCGGCAGGCAGCAGGCAGCAGATGTAGCCTGCAGTACTGCACTCTAATCACTGCACCACCATGGCTCATAGCACTTAACAGCACTGTCTGGATGGTTTACAATGTAGAAGCATTATTTACATGTTACCCCCACCAATCTGGGTCCTCATTTTTCTGATCTTGGAAAGATGGAAAGCTGAGTCAATCTTTTTTTGGGGGGGGGAATTTTATTAAATACATATTAAAACATTGGACACGGTGTAACCGTCCTGGCATTATCTTTGCCATACATACTAAAATAAAAGATAAATATCATATATACCTTACTACTTATATACATTTGGTCTATTCAGTAATTACATATATAAAGACATCATTCCTCTATCTATATTACTTAAAAATTTGTCTTATCCACTTTCATTCTATTGTAATTACATACATAACCTTAGTTCTCCATTCTATGAATTCTAGTCGGTTCATATTTTTCGTCCCTCTTTTCCATTCCAACCATTGATAAAATTTGTTCCATATCTCTTAGTATTCTGACTCGTCTCTACTTTTCAATTACAGCATTAATCTATCCATTTCCGTGCATGTCAATTTTTTTTTAATCACTTCATCTTCAAGGGGGATTTCCTTATTTTTCCAATTTTGGGCAAAGATCATTCTTGCTGCTGTTATAATATGTATTATTAAATAAATTACCCCTTTACTATATTTCCCCTTTATAATTCCCAATAGGAATAGTTCTGGTTTATATTCTATTTCTTCTCCAGTTAATTCTGCCAGCCATAAATGAATTTTCCACCAATACTCCTTTGCTTTTTTATATGACCACCACATATAGTAGTACGTGCCTGATTCGTGGTTGCATTTCCAACATTTTGGTGATAAATTTCTAAACAATTTTGCCAATCTCACTGGTGGAAGGTGCCACCTGAAGAACATTTTATATAAATTTATTAAGGCTGAGTCAATCTTGATCCCATCAGGATCAAATTCCAAGCTGTGGACAGAGTTTGCCTGCAATGCTGCATTTTAATCATTGTGCCACTAAGGCTGACAATTTAGTTATAGGGCTTTCCTGGTCCACAGCTTTAAAAAAATAACTTAGACTTTCCCAACTTTCCACTCTGTATGATGATAGTCTGGAAATTCCAAGGACTGAAGCAGGAGTGCTATTCAGCAGGTTCTGACAGGTTCTGGAGAACCAGTAGTGGAAATTTTGAGTAGTTCAGAGAACCGGCAAATACCACCTCTGGCTGGCCCCAGTGTGGGGTGGGAATGGAGATTTTGCAATATCCTTCCCCTGGAGTGGGGTGGGAATGGGGATTTTGCAGTATCCTTCCCCTGCCATGCCCACCAAGCCAACCAAGCCACGCCCACAGAACCGGTCGTAAAAAAAATTGGATTTCACCAGCGCTTGCTACTATTGTGTCTCCTCCTTCATGTCATTATTTACTTTATTTAATTATTTAATTAAATTGTAGGAAAAGACCATTAAAAAAGAACATCTTCCCAGTTGTTTAAGAATCATGCAAAAAGCATTCTTTTCTCTAGAACAATATATTTTCTCCCTCAACAATATAGCAGAGAATATTGAAAGGTCATTTGTGTTTAAAGATGGATGCATAACTGTAAGAGGGAAGAAGAGGACAAAATGTTGGTGGCTTCTGGCCATGGGAATGAAAATTAGAACACAGAGAGAAGAGTAGACAGAAGTGAGAATGGAGAGGAGAATGCCAAATGATAGTAAGGAGGTGAACATGGTGCTACGGCTGGTGGAGTCATGTACCTCTGAGTGATAGACAAGATAAAAGGACTGTTAACATCCTTCCCCTGGAGTGGGGGGGGGATTGGGGATTTTGCAGTATCCTTCTCCTGGAGTGAGGTGGGAATGGAGATTTTGCAGTATCCTTCCCCTGCCACACCCACCAAGCCATGTCCACCAAGCCACACCATGCCCACCAAGCCACGCCCACACAACCAGTAGTAAAAAAAATTGAATTCCACTACTGGACTGAAATACAATTCTTTGGAAAGTTGGGGAAAACTGAGCTAATTGTGAATGTGCTTGACAACTTTGTTTCATCTTTCAGATTTAGATGACTGTTTCCTGTGTCCTGAAGGAAACTATCCCAACAAGAATAGGTCGCTTTGCATTAAAAAACTCACATCTTTCTTGTCTTACAAAGAACCCTTGGGAACCACCTTGACCAGTGTTGCTTACTTCTTTTCTGTCATCTCAGTTGTGGTGCTGGGGATTTTTATTAAACACCAGGACACTCCAATTGTCAAAGCCAACAACAGGAGCCTGACTTATACTCTTCTCATTGCTCTCCTGTTCTCTTTTCTTTGCATTTTGCTTTTCATAGGGCAGCCTAACCAAATAAAATGTCTCTTGAGACAAGCTGCTTTTGGCATCATTTTCTCTGTGGCCCTTTCTTGCATATTGGGCAAAACAACCATAGTGGTTCTTGCTTTCATGGCCACCAAGCCAGGCTCCAAAATAAGGAAATGGGTAGGGAAAGGACTAGCCAACACTATTGTGTCATCTTGCTCTCTGGTGCAAGTCACAATTTGCAGTGTTTGGCTGGCAATTTCTCCCCCATTTCCAGATTCAGACATGCATTCCGTGGCTGGAGAAATTGTCCTGGAATGTAATGAAGGTTCAACCATCATGTTTTATATTGTTCTAAGCTTTATGGGATTCTTGACCATTATCAGTTTCACAGTGGCGTTCCTAGCCAGGAAGTTACCAGATAGCTTTAATGAAGCCAAATTTATCACCTTCAGCATGTTTGTTTTTTGTAGCGTTTGGGTGTCATTTGTTCCCACCTATCTGAGCACCAAGGGAAAATACATGGTAGCTGTGGAGGTCTTCTCCATTTTGGCTTCTGCAGCAGGATTACTGGGTTGCATCTTTTTCCCCAAATGTTACATAATTATTCTGAGGCCTGATTTGAACAGAAAGGAGCAGCTGATGAAGTAATAAAAGTGATTTCTCATTTCTTCTTACTATTCATTCGGTAAGCATCTTACTCTAGTTCAAGCCTCATTTTAATGAGTTGCTTTCAATTTGCTAAGCATTTTTTTTTTTCAAAATAATCAGCAGCAATGTATGCAGTGTGCAGGAAAGACAACCCAATTGTTTATCTATGCAGTGGATAAAAGCCTATGGAGATTCTCAGTTATCTAGATCAAGGTTGTCCCAAAGGTGCTTTTTCAGGAGACAACTGGACTTTCTTGTTTTTTTTCTTTGAAGATGTTTCACTTCTTATTCAAGAAGCATCTTCAACTCTGACTGGATGGTGGGGAATGGAAAGGTTTATATTCCTTGCAGACAGCTGGTCATTTGCATTCTTTTAGAGAGTCGTTGAAGCTACTTGGACATTTATCTGTGTCTTCAGGGTAACCCGAATAGTGAAAATGGGTGTGGACCCTTCTTGGTTGCAGGATGTTTTCTGTGCTGTGTCCCTTCACTGTCGAAAGAATGCAAATGACCAGCTGTCTGCCAGGAATATAAATCCTTCCATTCCACACCATCCAGTCAGAGCTGAAGAAGCTTCTTGGATGAGAAGCAAAACGTCTTCAAAGATGAAGCAAGAAAGTCCAGTTGCCTCCTGAAAAAGCACCTTTGGGATAAGCAGTGGATACATTTTCTTTTTAAGGTATAGGAATAGTCTTATATTGGAATTATTTATATTTGATCCCAAATAGTCAGTGTAAAAAAATTACCATTGTAGAAAATAAAGTTTAAATTAAAAATGTGATTTCTAGTCCAAACTGGTTAGTTTTCAAAACAAAATTCTAGAGAGAAAACAGGTGGGAAATTCCAACATTTTATTCCAAAAAATGGCTATCCTCTACAGTACTGTGCAAAAATATTAGCAAATATGCAACATTTCTGTAAATTGAGAATGCTTTCAGAAATAGCAATGTTAATTGTTTATTTTTTATCAATTAACAAAATGGAAAATAAATGAACAGAAGAGAAATCCAAATCAAATCAATATTTGGCATGACCACCACTTGGGTTCAAAACTCATCAATTCTTATACACTTGCACAAAGTCAGGGATTTTGTAGGATTACAGTCCTATGGTATTGGTATGATTAACCAATTATATCCAGCTGGTGCAAGCGATCATCAATTTCATACATATGTTGAAACACAGTCATTAATTGAAACAGAAACAGTTGTGTAAGAGGCTTAAAAGTGGGTGAGGAACAACCAAATTCTGCTACTAAGCTGAGGTTGTGGAATACAGTTTCCTGTCACAGGTCATACACCATGGCAAAACTGAGCACAGGAACAAGACACAATAGCCATAGCAATAGCACTTAGACTTATATATCGCTTCACAGTGCTTTTACAGCCCTCTCTAACTGGTTTACAACTTTACAGAGTTAACGTATTGCCCCCAACAATTTGGGTCCTCATTTTACATACCTTGGAAGGAATTTTACCTAGCAAAATTCTGATGAATTGGAAGAGGAAGAAAATGTTCATGGATTTGATCAATGCTTTGGAGTTAGCTTCAAGTCTTGACTGAATGAGTTCTAAAATCAAGATGTGCTGGTCAGGGAAGATGTTCTGAGTAACAATGGAAGAACTGATTTACTTGTGCTTCATACAAGGCTGTCCTGCTTATAGCAACTGTATTAGCAATGCTGCCCCTTCAGGTGGCCAATGTTGCTGCCAGAAGTAACTGCATTTTTTATAGACTTTTCCAGCTACCTGAACAGAATTATCAGTCTGGGGACCTCATCATTGCAGGAGTTTTTTCTCAGAGCTTCATCATGGCTAATCCTATAACTTTTATAATATACCCCACTCTTGAACGGTTTGAAGATCACTTGTAAGGAAATGTTTAGGTTTTATTAGGATCACTACTAATATCAGTCTTTTGTAGAATATTCTCTTGCAGAATCTAGTGGTGTTAGGTTAAGGAGAAGTTAACAATTCCATCATTATGAGCCGAGGTGGTGCAGTGGTTAGAGTGCAGTACTGCAGCTACTTCAGCTGATTGCTAATTCAGCAGATCAGCGGATCAAATCTCACCAGCTCAAGGTTGACTCAGCCTTCCATCCTTCCGAGGTGGATAAAATGAGGACCCAGATGGTTGGGGGCAATATGCTATTTAGTATACTGTCTTTGGTGTAAGCCGCCCAGAGACCTCGGAGACTGGGCAGCATAGAAATATGAATAATAAATAAATAAATAAATAAATAAATTGAGTTTTCTCAAATAAGCATTTATGTTTCCTGCTGTGTGATTGATGTGATTCCTGCAAAAGCTTGCTAAAATGCTACTGAGGTTAGGGGATTGCAGTGAACAAAACTTGACTTGAGGCTTCATTTGTATAGTAGTGGCAGGAATATCAATCATTCAATAGCAATAGCATTTAGACTTATATACCGCTTCACAGTGCTTTACAGCCCTCTCTAAGCAGTTTACAAAGTCAGCATATTGTGCCCTGAACAATCTGGGGCGCATTTTACCCACCTCGGAAGGATGGAAGGCTGAATCAATCTTGAGCCTGGTGAGATTTGAACTGCAAAATTGCAGGCAGCCGGCAGACAGCAGAAGTAGCCTGCAGTACTGCACTCTAACCACTGCGCCACCATGGCTCTATCACTGCAAATCAAACTTTATTGCAGTCACAAACCAGCAGATAGAAGTAGTAAGGATATGTCTTCTATGCTTTCTCTGGTTCTAATCCCTATACCATTGTAACATACATGCACACATCAATGTACATGTAAATGTTCCTTTCTTCATAGTCATTGTTCAGCCAATTTATGTAGCATGAATTATATCCAGAAGGTAGCTGTAGCTTCCAGCTATTTGAACACGATTGATGTTAAATCACCCAGATTCTTTAAATGGCAATAGTAAAACTCTCTTGTTTTAGTACACTGCAACTTATTTTCTGGATTTTGAAAATTAGGTTCAGTTTAGAACCTGAGAAGTATTATGGCACCACTATACATGCATGTGCATGCATTCATGTACAAACACACACACATATACATATACCGTATTTTCCCATGTATAAGACACTACTTTTTCTTTAAAATATTTATTTGAAAATGGAGGGGCATCTTATACACAGGCTGCACATGCAGGATGAGCCTCTATCTTATATGCAGCTCTATCATTCCTCCCTATTGTAGCTGTTTCCTGTATCACATTGCCACTCTAGGTTTCATCTCTATTGTTCCTGTGATGCATTTCCTGTTCTTGTTGTATTATTCACTCTAACAAGATGGCTTCTGCACAGTGATGGCTTATATTGTGCTTACTACAAGAAACTACATGAAATATGGGAGTGTCTTATACATGGGGGCGTCTTAAAGATCGGAAAATACGTTACATTGTAAACTGAATGGTTTAGGAAATGTTTCATTCCTGCCACAACCCCCCCTTTTTTTTGTAGACCTGTATTTTTTTTTTCCATAGCATAGAAAATATGCATTTTCTATCCTATGAAAGAAGAATCGAAATTTACTTTTGTTCAAATCCAGGCAATGTGTTCCCATTTTCTAAAGAAAAAGAAAATCATTGCTCTAACATAATGTAATTATTATGTTTGCTCTTGCAATTATGAAGTTGACTTCTCCAGATCCTTGGGGAATGCTAATCTATTGGAAAAAAAATAACAAGTCAAAACATGTAAAACTAACATGAGATCTATAATTCTTAATCTGTTGCACCGGAAATAACTTGCAGAGAACAATCATGGCTTCAATTCTCATAGTCAGCAACCAGTCAAGATAGACTGAGACCTTGTGCTAGACAGAGATCACTGTCTTTGCTTTCATTTCTCTGGCCAGAAAGTTCCACAGAAGATGATAACTTCGGCGTTGATTATAACCTCGGTATTATTGATATTAATGCTACTTCCACTGGCAGTATGCAAAGTTCCTAGCTTTAGATGTAATGTTAGTGAGCCTCTTCCTATTCATCATAAGTATTATAAATCCGGAGACCTCAGAATGGCCGCCATTATTTCTCACACTTACCGTTTTTCCAATTTGACTTTCTTTGAAAAACGTCCTTCTTCTGCACTCTTTGGTGATTTTGTGTAAGGACCTTTGATTTTCTTAATTAAAATTTATAGTCTCTCCAGGTGTGGCAAAACTGTGGCTACGAATTTTCTTCTCATTGTTTTCCAGCTGCTTTCTTACCTTTCTAAAATAATGAATGCTGATTTTGGCACCACTTTCTGTTTGGTGGTTTAATAGTTAGGCTTGCTTTGCTTTATTATTTATTTATTATTATGATTATTTATTTATTTATTTGTCAAAGGCGTATTAGGTAACAAGTATAAACATGGATTGGATACATAAAATAGATACAAATACAGGGACGGCAGGCACACTGGTGCTCTTATGCATGCCCCTTAAAGACCTCTTAGGAATGGGGTGAGGTCAACAGTAGACAATCTTAGGTTAAAGTTTTGAGGGTTTAGGGATGAAACCACAGAGTCAGGTAGTGCATTCCAGGCATTGACTGGAATCAAGTTTGGAGCGGTTCATTTTAAGTTTGTATCTATTGTGTGCTCGTGTATTGCTGTGGTTGAAGCTGAAGTAGTCATTGACAGGTAGGACATTGTAGCAGATAATTTTATGAGTTACACTTAGGTCATACCGAAGGCAGCATAGTTCTAAGTTTTCTAAGCCCAGAATTTCAAGTCTGGTGGAATAAGGTATTTTGTTGTGAGCAGAAGAGTGGAGGATTCTTCTTGTGAAATATTTTTGGACACTTTCAATTGTATTAATGTCCGATATGCAGTGCGGGTTCCAGATAGATGAGCTGGATTCGAGAACTGGTCTAGCAAATGTTTTGTATGTTCTGGTTAGTAGTGTGATATTACCAGAAAAGAAGCTATGCAAGATTAGGGTTACAACTCTTAATGCCTTTTTGGCGATGTTGTTACAGTGGGCTTTGGCACTTAGATCATTAGATATGAGTATTCATATACTTATATAAAACCCAGTTTAACTGGAAATGGATTGGCTCTGTCCCTTTAAACAGTAGAAGTCTAAAGTCCAACCACTACATCTAAAAGGAATGATACTGTTTTGTACTGGTAGAAATGAGAACCCTTTATATGTCAAATATTAAGAATAGAATAGAATAGAATAGAATAGAATAGAATAGAATAGAATAGAATAGAATAGAATAGAATAGAATAGAATAGAATTTTTATTGGCCAAGTGTGATTGGATACACAAGGAATTTGTCTTGGTGCATATGCTCTCAGTGTACATAAAATAAAAGATACGTTTATCAAGAATCATAAAGTACAACACTTAATGATAGTCATAGGTTACAAATAAGCAATCAGGAAACAATATCAATATAAATCTTAAGGATACCAGCAACAAGGTTACAGTCATACAGTCATAAGTGGAAGGAGATGGGTAATGGGAACAATAAGAAGATTAATAGTAATGCAGACTTAGTAAATAGTTTGACAGTGTTGAGGGAATTATTTGTTTAGCAGAGTGATGGTGTTTGGGAAAAAACTGTTCTTGTGTCTAGTTGTTCTGGTGTGCAGTGCTCTATAGTGTCGTTTTGAGGGTAGGAGTTGAAACAATTTATGTCCAGAATGTGAGGGATCTATAAATATTTTCACAGCCCTCTTTTTGACTTGTGCAGTATACAGATCCTCAATGGAAGGCAGATTGGTAGCAATTGTTTTTTCTGCAGTTCTAATTATCATCTGAAGTCTGTGTCTGTCTTGTTGGGTTGCAGAACCAAACCAGACAGTTATAGAGGTGCAGATGACAGACTCAATAATTCCTCTGTAGAAGTGGATCAGCAGCTCCTTGGGCAGTTTGACCTTTCTGAGTTGGCGCAGACAGAACATTCTTTGTTGTGCTTTTTTGATGATGTTTTTGATGTTAGCTGTCCATTTTAGATCTTGCGATATGGTAGAACCTAGAAATTTGAAGGTCTCTACTGTTGATACTGTGTTGTCTAGTATTGTGAGATAACATCTGAAATCTTATGGAAATCTTCCAAAGTTTTGGCAGTACTGCTATGAAGTAAGACAAAATAGTTTTATTGAAGTAAAACAATGAGAAAAGCCTTAATGGACCCTTCAGAAGCTCTTCAAGTTCATCATTCCTGGAAATAGACAAATCTATATAAATCAAGGCATGGGCTACATGTTTCCAAAACAACTAAGAAGAGGAGGTAGGCAAAGAGCTTGAAAAATGAAAGAATACTCACCGGGTACATACTACCACATGTGGTGGACATGTATGAAAGCAAAGAAATATTGGACAAAAATACATACATGATTAGAAAAAAATGTTAAAGCTGCATATAGATTATAAACCAAAAATATTTTTGCTAGGTATAGTACCAGAAAAGTATAAGAGGAATTTGTATACTCTTGCAGCAGCAAGAATTGTATTTGCACAAGTAGTGCAATTAAGGTGACTTTGTATAAATATACAAAAGGATGAAGGCTATTGCTGAGCACATTGTAAGCCGCCCTGAATCTTCGGAGAAGGACGGCATATAAATCAAATTTTAAAAAAAAAAAGGTAAAGGTAAAGGTTCCTCTCATATGTGCTAGTTGTTCCCGACTCTAGGGGGTGGTGCTCATCTCTGTTTCAAAGCCGAAGAGCCAGCACTGTCCGAAGACTTCTCTGTAGTCATGTGGCCGGCATGACTAAATGCCAAAGGTGCACGGAACGTATTACCTTCCCACCAAAGGTGGTCCCTATTTTTCTACTTGCATTTTTTATATGCTTTTGAACTGCTAGGTTGGCAGAAGCTGGGACAAGTAACGGGAGCTCACCCTGTTATGCGGCACTAGGGATTCGAACTGCTCAACTGCCAACCTTTCAATCGACAAGCTCAGCGTCTTAGCCACTGAGCCACCGGGTCCCTTTGTAGTACAATTAGTGAGGTACTAATACCACTCTATAAAGCCTTAGTAAGACCACACCTAGAGTACTGTATCAAGTTTTGGTCATCACACTAGAAAAAAGATGTTGAAACTCTAGAAAAATTGCAGAAAAGAGCAACCAGGATGATTAGGGGACTGGAAACTAAAACATATGAAGAACAGATACAGGAACTGGGCATGGCTAGTCTAGTGAAGAGAAGGACCAGGGGAGATATGATAGCAGTGTTGCAATATTTAAGGAACTGCCACAGAGAGGAAGGGGTATTTTCTAAAGCATCTGTAGGCCAGACAAAGAATAATGGATGGAAATTGAACAAGGAGAGATTTAATCTGGAAATAAGGAGAAATTTTCTGACAGTGAGAACAATCAACCAGTGGAACAGCTTGCCTTCGGAAGTTGTGGGAGCTTCATCACTTGAGACTTTCAAGAAGAGACTGGACTGCCATTTGTCAGAAATGATTTAGGGTCTCCTGCTTGGATGGAGGGTTGGACCTACAAGGTCCCTTCAAACTCTGTTAATCTGTTAAAAAGTACTGGAAACACTGAGGAAATATCGAGAGAAGAAGATGTAATTAAAAAAATATTAGGTTGTGCAGAAATGGACAGACTGACTGACATTAAAGATAGAAGAAAAAGAAGATACAGAGTATTTTCGAACATAGGACTTGTTTTATAAATGGTTGGATAATAGAGGTAGAAATTAGGAGCTGGAAAAGTATTATTATGTACAACTTGACCCAGACAATACACTGTTCACAAAGCACTTATGTATGTTAAAAGAAAATGTATAAATAAACTGTTTTTAAAAAATGAAAGAATACTAAACTATTTTATGAAAAATAAATCACGGAATATTTGTAAAACAAATATGTCCTGCATCTTAATTCTACTGAGGTGCGTTAGTTGGCTGACTATTTTCAGAGAAGTCATAGTGTTATCCCAGGATAAGGCCAGACAATCTAATTTCAAACAAGGTCTTTGCTAAAACCATCAACATCTCAAGATGTCCATTCCTCTCATTGTAGGATTCTGAAACAACACTACCAACATATCCTGGCTTTGGAATTTGCTATAAAAGAGATAAATGACAATGCCAAACTATTACCTAACATCACCCTGGGCTTTGACATCTACAATAATGATTTCAGGGCAAGTGCTATTTATCTTGCTTCCATGGAACTTCTTTCCACAAAACACAAATTCATCCCAAATTACAGATGTGATGTCCAAAACAATCTAATAGCAGTTATTGGGGGACCTAACTCTGATGTCTGTCTCAACATGGCAACTATTCTCTGCATGTACAAGATCCCACAGGTAGGTAGTCTGAGAAAAGCAATAGAGACTTAAGTAGTAAGAATCTCCTCTATCAAATATGAGATAATTTTGAGATCTAAGAATGGGAAAAATTGAACAAAATAGAGAAAAAACCCAAGGACTAACTCAAATATAAACTATACGCTCCAGGAATTAATGCACGCAATTCTTTTGGAATTGTCTACATCTTGTAAAGTGGGAACAACTCTTTATAACTGTTACCCAAATTCAAATAAATCCAAGCATGTAATAAAGTTCCTTTGTTTTATTTTTTCCCTGTCTCCTCCAAAATGCAAAAATTAATACCATCGTTATTTGTTATTATGAAGCAGGAGATATAATATTCAAATTATGACAAACAAAATAGAAAACAGACAGAAAGATAGTAAGGTTTAGATCAAAATGTCAATGAAGAATCTCAATCATCAAGACAAAGGTGTCTAAAGGTTGAAATGTGGGAACTGGACTAATTTTCGTTAGTTTGAGATGTTTTGTTGCTCATCCAAGCAGCTTCATCAATCAGAGCAAGTCAGTTAGGCAGAGAGTCATTTTCAGATTACAAATTAATAGAGTTGGAAGGGACCTTGTAAATCATCTAGTCCAACCCCCTGCCCAAGCAGACCCTAAACCATTTCTGACAGATGGCAGTCCAGTCTCTTCTTGAAAGTCTCAAGTGATGAAGCTCCCACAACTTCTGAAGACAACTTCTGTTCCATTGGTTGATTGTTCTCACTGTCAGAAAATTCTTATTTCTAGGGTGAATCTCTCCTTGTTCAGTTTCCATCCATTATTCTTTGTCTGGCCTTCAGGTGCTTTGGAAAATAGCTTGACCCCTTCGTCTCTGTGGCAGCTCCTCAAATATTGGAACACTGCTATCATGTTTCCCCTGGTCCTTCTCTTCACTAGACTAGCCATGCCCAGTTCCTGCAACTGTTCATCATGTTTTAGACTCCAGTCCCCTAATCATCTTGGTTGCTCTTCTCTGCACTCTTTCTAGAGTCTCAACATCTTTTTTTATAGTTTGGATACTGGATACAGTACTCTCGGTATGGTCTTACTAAGGCTTTATAGAGTGGTATTAGTACCTCCCTTGATCTTGACTGTATCTCTCTGTTAATGCAATTTAGAATTGCATTGGCTTTTTTGGCTGCCACCACACATTGCTGGCTCATATTTGATTGATTGTTGGAAAGAATCTACATACTTATTGAATTTTGTGTATTTTTTTTTTGTCTTCTCCTTTATTTAGTTCACATATGGTTCTGCTATTATGATGGAGGAAAAAAACCAAGGAGTCTTTTTCCATCAGATGTTCCCAAACATGGCCCTCCAGTATAAGGGTATTTTCAGGTTGTTGAACTTTTTTGAATGGAGATGGGTCGGTGTCATTTATCTGAATGACGTCTATGGCGAGAAATTTGTGCAGGATATACTTCCCATGTACTATAGAAATGGCATTTGCTTTGACATCGTAGAAATCTTACCAGAACCAACTTTTGCTGAAGGTGCTGCTGAAATGTTGGACAAAATAAACAAAATGTATCAAGCAATCCTAAATAGTCCTGCCAAGATATTCATAGTCCATGGTGAAATTCAGACCATCTTTGCTTTGAGGATGGTGCTTTATTTCTCAGAATTTGAGAATGTACCAATGGTGGCAAAGGTCTGGATTATGACAGCTCAAATGGATTTCACATCACTGTCCTTTCAAAATGATTGGAAGTTAGACTTCATACATGGTGCTATATCACTAGCGGTGCACAGAAATGAGTTGCTTGGCTTCCAAAAGTTTGTTCAGGCCAGAAATCCTAAAAGGGAAGGAGAAGATGGTTTCATCAAAGCTTTTTGTGAACAAGCTTTTAAGTGTGTGTTTTCCATTTCTCTGGTAGACCAAGAAGAGAGCAAAATCTGCACTGGGGAAGAAAAACTAGAAACCCTTCCTATATCTGTTTTTGAAACAAGCCTGACCACTCATAGCTATATTATCTATAATGCTGTCTATGCTGTAGCTCATGCTCTACGTGACATGCATTCAGCTGAGTCCAGGTACAGATCAAGGACAAAGAGAGAAAGATGGAAATTTCTGCACAAACCTCTGTGGCAGGTAGTGGTCTTCCAAGCAGAATACAGTATATAAAGGTGTTCAAGAGATATGTAGGTATTATTTTCAGTGGAATCAAAACCTACATTATTCACTCTGTTCTTACTAAGACTGGGATTGCAAGGTTTATTTTATAGGTAATTACTCAACATAATGAACAGCATAGAATTGTTCCATTCCATATCATTGATAGAAGTATTTTTGTACAATGTTTAATTATCTTTCTTGATTTAAAAAAAAACCCATCCACCATTGAAAATGTCAATGAAGACTCAAACAAGCAGGCTAAAAATCTGTAGAGATTCTCAGTCATCCAGGTCACGGTTGTCCCAAAGGTGCTTTTTTCAGGACCTCTTTATTTTTTTTATTTTATTTTTTTCTTTGAAGACGTTTCACTTCTCATCCAAGAAGCTTCTTCAGCTCTGACAGGATAGTGGGGAATGGAAGGATTTATATTCCTTGCAGACAGCTGGTCATTTGCATCCTTTTAGAGGGTCGTTGAAGCACTTGGAGGTTTGTCTGTATCCTCAGGGTCACCCGATGCACTCAGTTTACACAGATAAACTTCCAAGTGTTTCAATGACTCTCTAAAAGGATGCAAATAAATAAATAAATAAATAAATAAATAAATAAATAAATAAATAAATAAATAAATGAATGAATGAATGAATGAATGAATGAATGATTGAATGAATGAATAAATAAATAACTTTATTGTCATTGTACATGTATACGTGTATACATGTTGTACATGTATTTATTTATTTGTTTATTTGTTTATTTGTTTGTTTGTTTGTTTATTTGTTTATTTATTTATTTATTTATTTATTTATTTATTTATTTATTTATTTCCATATGCAGTGTATATTACAACTGACTAGTTTATTAACCTTTCTATTAAGTCAGATGAAACTTTTAGGGGAAATAAAGAACAACTGTAAATCTCAGATATGGAACACTGCTAAAAGAACCATGATGGTGCAGTGGTTAGAATGCAGTCCTGCAGGGCTAACTTTAAAGCTCACTCCAGGAGTTCAATTCTGAGCGGTTCAAGGTTGACTCAGCCCTCCATCCTTCTGAGGGGGATTTTTTTTTTTTCATTTTCAGTAAAATGAGGACCCAGATTGTTGGGGGAAATATGCTGACTCTGTAAACCGCTTAGAAAGGATTGTAAAGCATTGTAAAGTGGTACATAAGTCTAAGTGCTATTGCTATTGCTATTTTGTTGTTTTCAGTTGCTAAGTTATGTCCAACTTCTCGCAACCCCATGACCACAGTGCGCCAGGCCCCACTGTTCCCCACTGTTTCCCAGAGGTTGCCCAAATTCATGTTCATTACATCAATACCACTATCTAGCCATCTCATTCTCTGCCATCTCCTTCTTCTTTATCCTTCAATCTTTTCCAATATCAGGGTTTTTTCCAAGTAGTCCTTTCTTCTCATTTGGCCAAAGTATTTGAGTTTCAGCTTCAGTATCTGTCCTTCTAAAGAACAGTCAAGGTTGACTTCCTTCAAGTTTGACCGATTTGAACTCATTTAAGCTCAAAGGACTCTCAAGAGTCTTCAACAACACAATTTGAAAGCATCAATTTTTTGGCACTCAGCCTTCCTCATTGTTCAAGTCTCACAACCACACATTAGTACTTGGACTGGTATCTTAGGTTTTCTTTTTATAACCTGCTCACATTTTTCTTTTCTACTCTCTCTCTCATTCCTGATTTCAGTTGCACCACTTTCTGAGAAGTGTGTCATTTAATAACTCTGCTGGTGAAAAAGTTTCTTTTGATGAAAATGGTTCATTAATAGCAGGATTGGATTTTATCAACTGGGTTACATTCCCAAACCAAACCTTCCAGAGAGTTAGAATTGGCAAAATAGAGCCCATGGCTTCTCCCAAAGAAGACTTCACCATTCATGTGGAAGAAATTCAGTGGCCCAGCCAATTCAACCAGGTAAGATGCACATGCAATCCTGCCGTATAGCTTTAAGAAAGTGGAAAAGTGCTCATCAAGAGAATGCAAGAATCATCCAATACTCATTGTGGCCTAATTCTAATTTCTAAATTATTAATTAAATTTATATGTCACCTGACTCTCAGTGATACGTGGTAGTCAGAATCAGAAATATTCACAGCTGTCTAAGAAGCAACTTATTCCGAACTGTTTCAATTCTGAAGCATGGATTAGGACAGGGGTCAGCAACCTATGACTCTGGAGCTGCATGTGATTCTTTGGGCCCTCTGCTGTGGCTTCCTGTCAGGTGATCCCAACACTGGCTGGCCCTGCCCCTCACCCTCCCCTCCCAGTCACTCCTCGCCTGGCCTGAGAAGGTAAGGGCAATGGTGGGGGATGGAGAAGCAGCCAGGGCAGAGACAAGAGATAAAGAGAGAGAAGGAGAGAGTGGGGGAGAGATGGACGGAGGAGAGAGAGAGAGATGTCAAAAGGATGTTGTGGTTCCTGGTGTTTTTTAACAACTGGTTCTCTGCCCTAATGACTGGCTGGGTAAGTGTGGCTAGGAGGTCATGTGACCGATGGAAGTGAGTGACATCGAGTTGGCCACACCCACCCAGGTTTTGTAGCTCCCGGTGTTTTCCTAGTCCAAATGGCTCTTTGAGTATTTAAGGTTGCAGACCCCTGGATTAGGAAAAATAAACTGGATTCTGTACTGCTTTTTCCTTGGTTCTGGGACAGTAGAAATGTATGGGTTTTTAATTTATTTTCCTTTATCTGAACACAATGCAATTTTCAGAAAAATCAGAACAGAATGAAGAGGTGATCAAAGTTAAAGTTTGCAGTTTAGTTGCAATTTATGCAGAGGTGGTATTCAGCAGGTTCTGACCAGTTCTGGAGAACTGGTAGCGGAAATTTTGAGTAGTTCAGAGAACTGGTAAATACCACTCTGACTGGCCCCATCCCATCTATTCTCTGTCTCCCGAGTCCCAGCTGATCGGGAGGAAATGGGAATTTTGCATTAACAAAATGCAACCCCCTGGAGTGGGGAGGGAATGGAGATTTTACAGTATTCTTACCCTGCTATGGCCACCAAGCCATGCCCATCAAGCCACACCATGCCCACCAAGCCACACCCAGAGAACCGATAGTAAAAATTTTTGAATCCCACCACTGAATGTATGTATTTGTTAAAAGGGATCATCACTTTTAGGTTGGGCTCAAATTTTGATGACTTCTGGAAGCATTCACATTCATTCAAGATTCTAGGTGAAGAGAATCAGACCCTCAAAATAATGTTATTCCATTCTATTTAGAGATGAAGCATATGTCAGTTCAAACAAATGTGATATACTGTATCATTGTGATATATTTCTCATTCTTCAACAGACAAAGCCTCTTTCTCTATGTAATGATGTGTGTCAGCTGGGGACTAGTAAGGCAAAGAAAGAAGGAAAACCATTTTGTTGTTATGATTGTTTTCCATGTCCAGAAGGGAAAATTGCTGATCAGAAAGGTAAGAAATCCTGGATAAAGATTCTTAAGAGGACAGTAGATCAAATAATCTGTTTTTTTTTGCAGGTGTTGCTAGTCACGGATGATGTTATCTAGTTTGGGTAATGAAACATTTTCAAGAAAACAACCAAACCAAGGATTGGTTCTAACCTGAGCTACAAATATTCTTCTTTATTGCAAATAATCGGTATATGGTACAGTATTTCCTGACTTGTCTATATAAAATCTTTTTCAGTTTTACAAAGTTTTTTAAATTTGGTTTGCTGGGCATGCTCTTCTCCATGTTTTACTTTATGTATACCATAGCTTTTATAAACAAAATTGCATTTTAAATAAAAAGGAGGTTTAAAGAATGTTTGTACTTATCCAGTAATAATTTCAATTATCCTCATTCTCTCTCTCTCTCTTTCTCTATGTCTCTCTCTCTCTCTCTCTCTCTTTCTTTCTCTCCCTCCCTCTCTTGCTCCCCCCTCTCTCTGTCTTTCTCTCTCTGTCTTGTCTCTTTCTCTGCCTCTGTCTCTCTCTCTCTCTCTGTCTCTCTCTCTCATTCTCTCTCTCTCTCTCTCTCTCTCTCACTGTCTTTCTCTTCTCCCTCCCTCCTTCTCTTTCTCTCTCTCTCTTCTATTCTAGAAATGTAGAGATTCAGTAAGTTAACTCACCCATATATGCTTGATTTGTGGCTTTTGAGACATCATTCTAGTTCTACAAAACCAAAATAATTTAGAAAATCATACATTTAATGTAATAAAAAACATACTTTGAATATTATATAATATTGCAGCAACAGCACAAGAATGACTCCAAGAGCCACCTTCATCCTTATTGCCACATATTAGACACATTCATTGTGAAAAATTGGGGAATATCTACAGAAAACCATGCTATATTTTCAGTACATTCCTTCACTGAAATACTTAATTCATCAAAATATGTTAGTTTCATAAGATGGAAAATCAGATTGCATATTTCAGATATGGATGCCTGCATTCAATGTCCAGATGATCATTATCCAAGCCCTACCCAGGATTCATGCATTCCAAAGAAGAAAACCTACTTGTCCTATGGAGAAACCTTGGGGAGAACTTTGGCTAGCTTTGCTCTTTGCTCTACTTGTCTCTCTGCTTTCATCCTGGTCATGTTTGTTAAATACCATGATACTCCCATTGTCAAAGCCAACAACCGGAACTTGACCTATGCACTCCTTGGTTCACTTTCCTTCTCCTTCCTCTGTGCTCTCCTCTTCATTGGCCACCCAGAGAAGCTGACCTGCCTAGTTCAACAAACTGCATTTGGCACCATCTTCTCAGCAGCGATCTCTTGCATCTTGGCCAAAACCATCATGGTTGTTCTTGCATTTACTGCTATCAAGCCAGGGTCCAGGATAAAGAAATGGGTGGGCAAAAGATTGGCCAACTCCATCGTTCTTTCCTCCTCACTAATTCAAGTCATCATTTGTACTGTGTGGCTGGTCAACTTTCCCCCATTTCCAGATGTTGACATGCATTCAATGGCAGAAGAAATTATTGTAGAGTGCAATGAAGGTTCAGCTTTCATGTTCTATTGTGTTTTGGGATTTATGGGTTTCCTGGCCATTGTCAGCTTTGTAGTGGCTTTTCTGGCCAGAAGATTGCCTGACACGTTTAATGAAGCTAAGTTTATTACCTTTAGCATGTTGCTGTTTTGCAGTGTTTGGATATCTTTTGTCCCAACTTACCTGAGCACCAAGGGAAAGTACATGGTATCTGTGGAAGTCTTTTCCATTTTGGCCTCCAGTTTAGGAATTCTGGGTTGCATCTTTTCCCCCAAATGCTACATAATTTTGCTGAAGCCAAATCTTAATACAAGAGAACAGCTAACAAGAAAAATAAAATAATATCTAACACCCAAATCTGAAATAATGTACATTTATTCAAAGGAACACTATAGGAAAAAAGCTTGTGTGTGAAGATTTGAAGTTGATGGGCAGTTTTCTCTGTTTTTAACCCCTTTTAACCCCTTAGTAACATTTACTAATGTTGTTGTATCTTTTGATGTCTTTATGTAAAAGCTGGCTCTTCAACTATGACGTGGGTGTCAAACTCTCCGTGTCACATTGCTGTCACACGACGTTTCGTGACATTTTCCCCATTCACACAGCTGGGGTGGGCGTGGCCTGTGCGTGACACATCCAGCCTAAGGGCCAACAGTTTGACACCCCTGACCTATCGTGTCCTCTGCAGCATTTTTTGTAATTTTCCATAGGACAATAACATAATTACTATGTTGCCTACCAACTATTCTAGGAAGCACTGCTGACTTTAAATGTTTATAAAATTGTCCCATATCAGGGCAAGCAAAATGGGGATAGAGCTATTTTATACACTTAATAAGGAAAATTCAACTGCAAAAGTTCTGACCACAGAATGTTTAGCATTTCTATTAAGAACCGGTCCAAACCAGCTGAATACCACCTCTGTTCTTTCCCAATACCATTAAAACACAAACACAATCACACCCATCTATCAGACAGATAAATGACCTTCATGTACAGAATCTCCCCTTCTTTATTTTATAATGGAGGCATTCCCCTGAGCCACTAGCATGGACAACTTCTAAAACATTTGATGACTTCATATAATCAGTTCTCAGAACGTTTTATGTAGGAGTCTTTTCAGCCTCTCCAATGGCTCCTGTAAGGTCTCGCCTCTCCAAATCTTTGTAAGAAAGCAGGACTCTTGAAACTGAAGTGGTTCTGCCAGAATCAAAATAAAGTGTATGCAAGATATTCGGGAAAAAGGAGGTTTAGGCCTACCGGACTGGGAGTTATATTACAAAGCAGCGTCGCTAAACTGGATAAGAGACTGGATAGACCTTAAGAATAAAAGAATGCTATCACTAGAGGGCTTTGAATTACAACGCGGCTGGCACGCCTTTCTGTGGGAGGGAAAGGACAAGCACCTCGGATATTTCCAGCAACATATTATCAGAGAATCATTGTACAAATCATGGCAAGATATTAGGAAACATTATATCAAGATCCCACGATGGCTATCGACAATGGAAGCACTAATCTATCCCAATGCCATGGATATAGAGAAAATGAGGACTTATAAAGAATTACTGAACAGTGAAGGAGAATTACAAACAAGACAAGAATTACAAAATCAGGGTATAGACATTGATTGGTGGCCATACATGCAAACATGCAAAGTTTCCGCAATTCCTGGAGGAAACATCTTATCTAGATCCGTTCCAGTCGGGTTTCAGGTCTGGGCACAGCACAGAAACGGCATTGGT